ATTGTAATATGAATTATATTTTCATAGTATGTCTTTAAAGAAAAACGCACTGTTCATCAGCAGTGTTCTCAAATGTATCACTCAGTCTGTTAAATATTTTTCCTTTTTGTGATAACATTCACAAATTTAGTTTCTTCAATTTTTTTTCTAAAATATTTTCACTTTTTCCTCTCCTCCTATTTACAGCCACCTCTTTAACTCTGAGACATCAAGTAGGGAGTGTGTATATTTTGTTATTAAATGTTATTTATATACTAGTGGCTTTTGAAAATAAAAAACCCTATACTTGTTTCTAGGGTGCATGGGTGGATTTTTTTGTTTGTTTTTGAGCTTTAGTAGAGAACAGAAGGGGAGCTAAGAAGAGAGGTTAAGTCTTGTATTTAGGAAGGTTTTTTTCCATTAGCAGTGGAATTAGTGAAAACTATTTCCCATGAATTTGTATTTCTTGCCTGGATTTACTGATTTCTATAATAAAATATTTAGCAGGCTTTTCAACACGTAGAGCATTGACAAGGTGTTCATTTGCTTTTATGCCTGCCTTTTCAAGATAACGTAGAAATGCAGAAAAATAAGCTCCTTGCCTGTTTGACAAATTTGGTGGAATTTGGTTTAGTTCCTTTAAGTGTGTGCTTCACTCTGCATGCACTGGAAGCTGCATCAAAGACCTACCACAAGTGATGACTCTGGGGGAGGAGTCCAGGGCATTCTCCAGAGGTCACATTTTGGAGGTGGCAATCAGGAATTATGTTCAAAATTTGACTTTTAAAAAAATCAATTATCTTTAAATGCTTCAATCTATTTTTAATATAGATTTTGTGGTTTGCTATTGCAGTATATAAATTGACATTTCTTTTTACCATTTCAGGAGCCTTTACAGAGAAATACTGTTTCTTTCACTTGTTGCCCTAGGAAGAGATAACATTGATATAGGTAAGATTTATAAATTCTTCTAATAAGCATAGATGATGAATATGCAAACTAGTTTTTTAGCTTCCAAAAATTCCCCATCTGTAGATTAGAGGTGTGCCATTTTGTGGTAAGTGCTGAATAAAAAGGACTTTACAGTTACTTTCTGCTGATAAGAGTACTAGCTGTCACTGTATTTGGGTTGTGGTTTTGAGCACCATCTCTAGAAGCTGTTTTTGTATTTCTACAGATGCTTTTGACAGAGAGTACAAAATGGCCTATGATCGTCTCACAGCTAATCAAGTGAAGAATACTCATAATTGTGATAGACCACCAAGTACTGGAGTGATGGAATGCAGAAAGATTTTTGGAGAACCATATCTTTAAATATACCTAGATAAAGAGGTGATATCTATGATGTGTACCTGTGTAAAATAACCACTTCAGTCACAAGGAACATCTCAGTCTTCAGTGTTCAAGAACGTATGTACAAATTTACTGTGGCAGAAGGCCTTGGAAAAAATTAGGCCTATCTACAGTTGTAGAAATGGACAGAGTGAAAAATGGGCCAAATATTATTTCCCTGTCCCTTGTCCTTTCTGCAAATCAATGTGTAGAAAGGGAGATTCTAAAGAAAAACAGTTCTTTAACTTGGGACAACATATTATGGTTCCCTTCTTAAAAAAAAAAATAAATAACAGGTGGACAGAAACAATGCACTGAAACTAATGTGAGCGAAGTAAATTCTTCAGAATCTATTGTTTACATAGAATATTCATGATGTTATGAAGAGCATACAAAGTTGTATTATACATATTTTAAATTGTTTATAGTAAGTTGATATTTTTTTAATTTTTTTAAATTACTGGAGTGAATTTTAAATGAACTTGCTGCATAAGCAATACAGCGCTTATTTTTTTTGCAGTACACTGCTATTTATAGTAACTCGTCCAGTTACTTTTTGAAGAGTGATTTGTTTTTAAAGCAGGATAGAAAATGTTAACCTTTGCCTAGACAGTTCTCTAGATACAGGATTTCTCTCATGCACACATGGAAAACATGTTACCACAGCAATCAGAAGGGGAAGGTATGGTTAACTTCTGTAAAACTCTACCAATGAACACACTGATGTCTCTGTAAAACACTTCTGTAGAAATCGCCTTCTCTTCCTCTCCTGTTCTCTTCACCCCCTAGTCCCCAGTAAAGAGAAAGTGTATTGAAGAGTCCTACAGATTATGTCACAGAATTAGTCCATCCTGGCTGTTGGCATTTGTTAATGTGACCTCATTACAGATGTAATACAAAGCAAATGACGGCCTGCGAGGAGTTCCTCATAAACATGCAGTGTTCAGAGTCTTGGTGGATGTGTTTGAAACACACTAAATATGACACGTACATAATGCTAATCCAAAGCTTTTAACTAAAGTACATACAGCAAACTTGCTACAGGGAATATATAGGGAATGTAACTTATTGGGGCATATTGTGCATAGCTAAATGTACTTGGAATGTTTGGTCTCTATTTCACAGGCAAAACAACTTTTTTTTTTTTCCTCTGTGAAGAAAAACTATGTCAGTCCTTGTGGGTGGAGTCATGGCTTTTGACTTGTGTTTTCTTGTTCTAGAGATTTTAAAAATGTTCTGTGCTCTCAGTCACATAGCAGCTCCTCACCAGAAGGTAGGCTACAGAGAAAATATCAGAAGTCTTGTATGGAGGTGGGAAAACAGACATTGAATTGTATAAAACACCCTAAACAAATTAAACCATGCTTTAACAAATAGCTTTATTTTAAGTAATCATACTGGGTTTCCAACTCTATTTTCTTTTAGCTGTTGCTGTTGCAATACTTCTAAATATTCAGCTGTTGCATTAGACTTTATATTTCGGTCTGCCTACCAGCAGGTATTTTTTAAAATCTCTTTAGTTTGTAAGTGTAATAATACAGCAATATTTAGTTAGGCAGAAAGGAGATAAACTTTAAAGCTCACATTTACTTTATTAAATGAAATAGTCAGCCTCTTAGAGGCTTAAATGAGAAGTAATGCTGCTATGAAGCTCTATGTAAGCTCCTCCCAGACCTCTGTAAAGTAGTAAGAAAATGCTGCCCTAAAGAGAAAGGATTTAAAATTTAGAGCTGCAGGTATATGCTGATGATAATGGCAAGATGCAGTCTTGTTGGATACAGCTTTCACTGCCTAATACCTCTTCTCTAATTTGCTGCTAATCATGTAGCTGACCTTTTTGAAAGTATCCCCCCACCCTGAGGTGGAGCTAGCAATGCTACACTTACCAACATTTGTCACACTTAATTTATTTTAACAATTTGTGATGCTCTCTTTTGTATTGCCATGCTTGTAAAGTAGTTGTCCTGCATGAAATACAGCTGCCTTTTTCACCCAGGTACATGGTAAGCGGTATATCAGCGTAGGGTGGATACACCCCGCCTCCCCCTTCATTCTTCTGAACTATGGTAAAAACCACCAGGTTATTTTTTTTTTCAACGTGCTCATTGTAAGTACTGATTAGTGTGCATGTATGCTCTGCTCTGTGCAGTAGGTACACTGTATTTACCAGCTAAACGTTGCAAACAGTAGTTGCTGTGTATTTAAACCCATACATGTCTGTGCTGTGTATACAGTAGCGTTCCTAGCTCTTTGCAGTTCTGTTCCCCGTGGCATTTACCACTTGGGGCAGCCACTGTTTTAAGACCTTCAAGCCGTGAAGGAGAGCAAGTGCTTCTTCCAGAGCTGCCGTAGTGTGTTAGAGGCACTGAGCTATGAAGCAAGCTTCACGCTTCCTGTTTTAGTCTGGCGGAAGCAACTGAGCCTGGTCTCTAACCACCTCTTACTAGGATGTGACACTGCAACTGCGTGTGCGGGCACAGGAATAGACGCAGCGCTTGCAATACATGGCCCACTTTCTCCATTTTAGTCCCAGCTCCCTTAAGTGCTTCCAACTGTCCTCAGACTTAGAAAGCCAACAAGTTTGCCACTTCATTCAAATATCAACAGTCCTGCCAGTATTCTCAGAAGAGTACATACTGTACCATGACAAGGATTGTGTGTGCATCCTTCAGACAAATAAAGTTACTGTGTTCTTCATCCTCAGAGTGGCACTCCTGAAGCATTGCTGATGTTCATTTGGGTGTGCTTTTAAATTACTATATCATGTAGTAGTTCATCAAGTGAAATCATCATACTTACTAATTGGTTTATAAAGTCTGTCGCAAGTCAGTCCACTGTAGAAATATTATAATAAAATATGGTTGGAATAGTGATATACTTTAAGTGGGAAATTTTCCCCATTCAAGTCATAATGTTCAAAATGTAGGTCCTGAGATGGGTAATTTTTAAGCATCATACAATTCAGTGTTGCAAGAGTTTTCAAATCTCACTGTCCTTTATTAGAAAAGCAATTTGAGTATATTTTCCAATACCACAAAGATGGATAAATAAAGTATTTGAGACATATTTTCAATTTAAAATTTTGTATGAACTGAATTTTCTCCTTTTGTGTACTAAATAATGCTTATGTCAAAAACCTTAAACAAAGGTTTTGCATTTGCAGTGCAATATATATTTTGCTTTACTTATGGTTCCACTGGAATAACTATTGGAGATGAAATACTGAAATGTGAATAGAAATTGTGCTGTTTCTCTGACACTGCTAACTGTGTCCCATTTTGAGGTTTGCTGTTGGTACAGTTGCGGCCTGATGAATTAGACTTCCACTGGCAAATTAAATGATTTGTACCCCAAGAAAGGGAAAATTCCTGCATGTAAAATCTTTGTATAACAAACGGGAGATGCAAATAGTAATAATAGAAAGGGGTATTTCTGGATATGATCTCACTGGGATTTAAAAAATGGTACTTTGTTAGTCTGCAAGCAGCACTTTTTAAATGAATGGTTGTAGATTTGTAAATATGTAATGTTTAAATTTTATTTACCAAAAACCAGTATGTTGGATGTTTGCTTTGGTTTGTAGTTCCTTTAAGAGATGCAAAGTCAGTGTTCACAATGTTAAGTTTTTTTCCTGTCTCATCCAAAAAAAGTTTTACAGTGAGTCAATAAAAAGCTTAAAATCTTTCTGGTTATTTTCATTTACGTTTTATTACATGGATTAGAATGACAGAAATGTCTGCAACTCTTAACTACATTGTTTGCTCACATGAGGCATTGTTAACAATAAACCTTTCAGGTTTGTTGATAGTTGATGTCAGTGGCATTTTTTCATAGTGGTTCTGTAGAAGACAGTGCTAACAAGAATTAGTGCTGGATACAATAATCTTTAAATTTCAGACATTAGTGTCAGGATGAAAACAAAACTCAAGCTGTTCAACTTTTTGTTATAGTGTTTCTGATTCCTGGTCTTACTTTTTATTGGTGGTGCTGTGCTATTCTAACCCCAGATCCATTTAGCCTTGTTACAGAAAGATGTCAATCCATATGACATTACACTTGTGTGGTGGCACTTACCATAAGTTTTAGGGATTGTATTGCAAGATCAGGTACAGATTTAAAAGGAGTTGTATGGATGGCTTTCAGAATTGCTCTTTAACTCTCAAATCCTGTGTGTTTCTGCATGCAAGAATAACTCTTACTGCTTTGCATTTTCCTCAGAAACCTTAGCATTGTATTTCTCAGTCTTAAGAGGGCCAGCAAAAAGCATTTTTTCCGAAGCACAACCCATGTTTGTGTCCACGCTTTTCTGGAGGTATGTGTGGAGCACCAATTGTGGATGCTTTATTGTGGCATTTACTGAGAGGATGAAACTACCTCTGCATAGGGAGGTCATGGCAAGCTAGCTGCAGCACAGACCTCGGGAACCACTGTGCTCGTTGCTTAGATGCGATGTGAGGGAGGTTGCTTCTGAGGTACAGAGTGGGTGTCGCACAATGATTTTAAGCAGAGTAGTTCTGTAAAGGCAAGCCATAGAGGTCTGACCCTGCTGAAGTGAAGTTCATTGATTTCAGTGGGTTTGAGCAGTTTACGAAGTAATTTAGAGTGTGTTCCTGAAAATATTTCTATAAGGAGTAAATATTCTGTGCTGAAAATCAGCTCCGTTAACTTGAGGGGATCAGCCAGACTGAAAACTTCACTCATCTGTATCATACCAGCCTTTCCATGAATGCCTAATCATGTTATTTGATATTGGTCACATCATTATCTGATCTTTTCTGATCCTAAAGAAAAATAGTAGAGGCTGACATACCACATGAGATGACTTTTTTTTTTTTTTTAGTATGTTAAAGACATTTTATTCTCAGTAAGCTTGTTATCATTCTGGTTGGTTTTTTTCAGTAGAACAATGGCTACCTTAAACCCCTTTTGATTTTGATACATGCTTATATACCTCTTGAGGTGTCCAAATGTCATACAGATACTGGGCAGGATATTATCCTGTCTTCTAACATCACACTGATGATCAAAAACACGAAGTAAAGAGCAAACATAGTGAACCCCAGTATTTTGTTCATTTTCCATTTACATACAGCAATTGAAATAATCACAAATAGGAGCATGAGAAAAAGGAGAACAATTGCACAAAACAAACCATTGCTGCTGACTGCAACAGGGCTGAGACCGTTGAAGACAGAAAAAAGGAACCAAGGAACTGGCAAACTGCAAGTAAAGGAAAAGTAATTGGGATAAATGGTTTTAGGCAGTTCATTTTCTGCATCATAACTAAGAAATTTTTCCAAACTGTTACTGAAAAAACCCACAATTGCAATCAGTATGACTTGGCATAAATCTAAAATTGATGTTGTTCATGTCAAAAATTGCACTGGATAATACTTGCACTATCATAATGCAATCTCAGAATCTAAAAGGGTTTTTAAGATAATACCTATGAATTGTCTTGATATGCTAGAATGAAGAAGTCCTGATGGTTTATTGATGAAAGATACAGGCACTGATCCTGAGCCTTCATTGCATGGGATTTGACAAGATAAGTATCCTGTCTGTAAATCTTTGATGTTAGCCAAAGGTTTGTTGCATTTTTGTCTTGAAAAATCAGTTATTCTCTGTTGATTCAGAATTAGGTGAAGATGATGAACTAAGTTATAAAAATCTGTCTTTCCTGGCTGGATTAAGTTTAAAAAAAAGTGACTGGTTGCCCAGCTGCCTTTCATTTATTTACAGCTAAAATGAAATTAATTAAGACCATGTGTGGAATAAAACCACCTAGCTTTGTATTCCAGAAGAAAGGCATCTTTTAGCATTTGAACTAATACTCACCCAACAGTGATATCGAAGATATTGCTGCCTACAGAACTGGAGACAGCCATGTCACCTAAGCCTTTCCGTGCCACAATGACACTGGTGATGAGGTCAGGGATTGATGTTCCTGCTGCCAGTATGGTTAATCCCATAATTTCCTCCGATATCCCAATTGTTTCACCAACCTAACGAATACAGAGTTGGGTAGGGCTGTTAGTTTTGGAACTTGCAGTTTAATTGTTATGTGTAGTCTTTTAGGTTTTGTGCCATATTTGAGTTAAAATAATCTGAATCCCCTTAAATGTGGTACCATTTTTCTGCTTTATAGGGTAACAAGTTAAATGTCATAGTGTCTGTTGATCTTGGATTGGCTTTGTAGCATAGAGCAGCTGATTGGAATGTTGCCGAGACTAAGCAAGGTCAAACCAGTTACAGTGCAACTCTTCTGTCCTACCTTCACCTCTTCTGGCTGTCTCCTACCTTCCCCTCTCCAGATTTAACATCAGCTCTGTATGATCCGAGAGCTTTGGGAAATGACAGGCTTTGGATTTATGGCATGATCAACTAGACTGTGAATGTGCAATATATCACTAAATACAAGATGCAAGTAGTATTTCCCAGAATACCAGGTGAACATTAAGGCACTGGGAGTTGAGATCATTTAGCAGCTTCCAGAATCAGAACCTGCATTTTCCTAGAATTTTAATTAGGTAAGAGATAATTATGTTCTGCACAGAAGCATTCATCAATGGAAAGGCAGTATTAAGATAAATCTTGATGGCACTTTTCCTGTCACTGATGCACAAATTCCCTTAGAAGCTCTCAAAAAAGAATGACTCTTTGTCAAATTGAAAAGAATGAAATTGAAAATTCCCTTTTGGGTTCTAACAAAACAAAGCTGCTACTGTTCTGATGGATGACTGCAGCTGTAATTCATCAGATAAAATGCCACAGTGACCCTGTTCCCTCCCTCTCCACCTATTCTGAAATGGTCTTGTTTGCAGAGAAAATAAACCCCTCACCTGGTGAGCCCACCACACCATGAGGTAAGAGAAGACAGCAATCCACATGATGGATCCAAAAAATGTGATCACGAAGAACTTTTTGGAGTCCTGTTAAAATCAAGTTTGAAAAGAAAAACAGGGAGAAGTTTCAGGAATGTTAACAATCCCCAATGAAAATTATTCACATGTAACACTTTGCTGGAATCAGTTGCTTTGATATGGACACTAGTCTCTCTAATTGTATTTAGTTTTGTTCAACTTGATTAGATGACTGGCAGCTGCTCATTTTTTTGTGGTTTATAAAATTAAATCTCTGGAACTATGCTCTGCTGCAACTGGGGCTCCTGTCCTGCATTAACTGATATCCTGCATATCCTGACTCCCTGCAGCATTAACAGCACTTCAAGTATGCAAAGACTCTAGATATGGAAAAATAGAACTGGGGACTCTTGCCGAGAGGAAATCTATAGTTCAGTTAATAAATCCAGTAACAAAAGGAAGTTAGATTCTTACTGGGTTTCTAACATCAGGCATAGTGCTCCAGAGAGGGAAGACAATGGGAAAGAGGAAAAGGTAAATTGCTTGTTTTTTCCTAGATTCTGGCCATTCAAGAGATAATGGCTCATCATTATCATCATCATCATCATCATCATCTGTGCTGTCATCATCACTGTCTTCCTCACTGTCAGAGCTGCTGTCTTCTGAGGCATCGTTGTCTGAAGGGGGCTGTAGATCAGAAAAAAGAGAAAAAGCCAATCTGTTTTCAGGCTAACAAGGAGCTGCACAGCATTTATTCACCATGGCCTTGCCTTGGCAGAGGTCACAACTGTAACATAGCTGAGGGCAGCCACAGCTCCCATCTTGCTATCGTGGGACAGTTTCCAGACATACCCTATCTCAGTGCCTGTGTATTATGTTAACTAATTTGTATTGGTTAACTAAAGCCAACCTTTAGACAGTGTTTTGACACAAACAAAACAATTTACTGTCTGTCCTTGAAAAACTTTTTCTCATCAGAACAGCTAAATTACATCAATAGGAAGGAGGGATTTGGGAAACAAAACAGACATGTGTACTGATGAACACAGGACAGGCAGGTACTCACATCTTCCCTCATGTTGGAGTACCCCTCTGACCTCAGAAGAGTCACTTGAGAAAATACTTCACAATATCAGTTGGTGTCATATTTTGGACCTGATTTGTGTTTGTAAGCTGAGATGTTTCAGCTAACAACTTGATACAACTCATCACTACACACAAAGTCTATTTATAGTTGCCAGTTACAGGAAATGGGTTGGGTCCTATGCCAAAAGCTCTAGAGAGGGAAGAAGGAAGGTACATGTGAAGTTTAGTCTGGCCTGAGCGCTTATTGCCTGTGGTACTTATTTCAATACCTTTCCGTCTTGCGGCGCATCTGTCTTCTGTTTGTCCTTGCTGGGTTCAGAGTCGCTGGCAGGAGTTACCTGAACAGCACTTGGTGTCTTCTTTTCCTCTTCTCCTAGAAGTGGTAAGAAGGAATACTGGTTTGAGTCATCTTAGCAGCCGGTGGTCACCTTCCCCTTGAGCAGCAGGGAGTTTTGAGCATCTTACAAAAGCGTGTGGCATTTCATGTTAAACCTAGTCTGACTGCTTAGGTTTTGTCTTTGTCCTCACTGTCTTCTGTGGATTGTGATTAGTATAAGCTGGGCAGAATCTGGCCCACCTGGCAAAGAATGATACCCCGGCACTCCTATGACCTTCTGTCTGAAACTGCTGGAAGAGGCACATGCGTAACCACAGGGAAATGCTAATTATCCAGTCTCCAACTGATGAGTGTTTCTTGGTTTCATTCTGGATTCTCAAATCCTTAAAAGCCAGAAAGGATGTAAAGCTTTCCTTCCCCTTCTTTTTTAGTAGAGCATGGCATTCTCCAGGGAACTGATATTCTTTAAGGCTTCTGAGAAATGACTGTTATGTGCTGCCAGACTTTAATCCCTGATCACTTGGTAGGTGTTCAAATGCAAATGGAAAAGTGCTGACACATACAAGGAAGTAACTGCAATGTCACAGAATCATCTGGATTGGAAAAGACCTTGAAGATCATCTAGTCCCACCATTAGCCTAACACTGAACTCCTCTGTGCTGTTCCTGTGTTAACCTGCCTAGCACAGAGGAATGCAGAAACCTCTGTACAGAATGGTGTAGAAATACAGGTAACACAGAGCAGGGGGTAGAGGGGGTGCCTGGCGCTCTGCTCAGACCCAGCAAAGGCCCTTTTCTGATTGCTGTAATTGAGGTTAAGGGATCCCCTCCACACTGTCAAGCCTATCGAGTCAGTAGGATCATGTTATCCCATGAATTGCACCTGGGTGGGGTGTTACAGGGTATCTAATCCTGAACTGGGTAAAATGATCCAGTACAGTGCTTCACAGCTGAATGAGGGAGAAAGTCTAGAGGGCAGATTTTCAGAAATGTGTGTTTTCAGTGAGCGCCATTTGGAATTTCTGAAACCAGGCCCGAAGAGAGTTCACCTGGGATACTTTCAGCCCAGAGTGGGAGACAGAACAATAATGCTTTTGAAATGTGCACAGCTCTATGCACTAACGTTTGTGAAACATGTCACAGCATGAAAATTCACAGCTCAGTGAAGTCAGTGTGGTGTTGATAAATTGTACTGAGAATTTCTTTGCTTCTTAAACAGTATTTTTCTCAAGTTTGGTTTTATTCACATAGGTGAGGCCCAGTGGTGTGAGGTACTGAGGAGACTGCTGTACTGCAGCAGGGTGCTTGTGGAGGTCGGACCTTCCACACAAAGGTTTGCTTGTTTTTCAAAATTTCCAGCCTCACTGACAGCACAGACCTGTGCTGTAGCACGGGCCAGCTGCTGCCTCTGGATCACCTCAGAAAGCCCATGTATCGGTGGTGACGTAGAAAAGACAAAAACTTTTAAAAGGAAGGATGCACAGATCTTTAGAATTGTTACAGACAAAGTCAGTGTGGCTTTTCTCCCTGGAGGAATCTTTTGTGCTCTTCTGCAAGTGTGCCAAATTTCCAAGCTAAAATACTTTCCAAGCTAAAATACTTTGTTTCAATAACCATCTCCTTTGCAGGATCTGCCAAAGATCAGCAGCATAAGCCGCACCCAGCTGCTGTCTGTAATGCCCTGACTTCCCCTTTTCCACCCTTCTGGTGGCAATGTACACTGCATCCTTGTAGCACTTTCTGTGTGGACACTCTCACTAACCACTCCTGTGGGGATGGTTTTTATTGCCCACGGGTAGTGTACATTGATTGATTTCTGCTGCATTATTATGGCAGCCATCTGTGACCAGTAATATCAGAAAAGCTGTGTTAGACCATAGTGTTTCTTTGCCAGCCCTTGGGTGCTGGGTGCTGGGAAGGTGAGGGATTGTGGTGCAAAACAAGGCAGACAGCACTGACTCTTGCACTCACCTTCTGGTTTTGCTCCTTGTCCAGCCGGAGTCTCTACTTTGGCCTTGGCTATGTTGCTCAGGATGTCGACCCTGTCTTTAAATTTTGCTGTGGATGAGAAGTATGCATTCAGCAGCAGCTCTCAGCTATGCAAAGCCCCCCTTTGTCTGCCTCCCCCCAACACACACACACACACACACATTGTTGTCCCTTTTCTCTTCTATGGACTGCAGGCAACACTGACAAGTCAGTTGCCCTGGCTGTGGCCCTGGGCTTTGGCTGCTGCTCATTGATCATAGCTGTTATATTTAAATGCTTAGTACTATGGCAATTATGCCAACAATCTGACATGTAACCAATACTTTAGTATTTAAAAAATAATCAAGAGGGAAGAGAAATCCTTTCCAGATCAATAATTTGGAGATATCTGAACTACATGGGAAGAAAATGCACAAAGAGCAGAGGAGTTGTTTCAATGCAATATTATTTTGCTCCCAAAGGACTGTTGATATTTTTCAGGCAAGCTAAAAATGACACCTTCCTTCTGCCATGTGACTGTTGAAAAGGCTTTAGTGTGCTGCTTGCAGCCTGGTGACCCGATGGCAAGGGAAAAGAAAAACCTTTTATGTTCCAGTTATCTGGAAAACAATTGATTTCTCTAAGTATGCACAAGTGTCTCCTCTGCTGGAGTTGATCTCAATTTCTGGTTCAACAAGGCCCAGGCTACCCAAGAGATCACCTTCACCAGTGCAGTGTCCAGTACTGTATTTCTGGGGCTGCTGAGGGCTTCTTCCACTGTAAACCATGCTTTGCTCAGCTGAGCTGTTTTATTACTGTTTTACAGTGAACTGTGAAACTGTGTGTGTGTGTGTCTCCATAGTTAGATGCTGCACTCAAATATCTTAATTCCTGTTCCCGTTGAAAGTGAGCAAGTCATTGGTTCAAAGAAAAGCCTCATTTTCCTCTAATCTATGTCCTCTGTTGAGCTGCCTACCCAGCAACTAAACTGAGGGTCACAGAGCTCACACATGGATAGTAGCCACAAAAAACTGGCCATGCTACATTTGGCTCATGTGCAGGGCTGTAAATTAATTCCTTCTGAAAGTTTTATTACACTGATTTAATCTACTATACTGTTGACTATGCAACCAGAACATGCTGTTGTCATCTGCCACAAGGGCAGGGCCCTGCCATTTTATACATCACCATGATACTGATTTAATAGAAATAGCATGTCTGAGGCCCTGAGCCACACAGGCAGATCTACTGTTCTGAGCTGAACCTTTTGAAAATCAGTAGACTCTGGTATATGTCCAATAACTGGGACAGGCTCAGACAATAAAAGCCTCCGGGGACGAGATTCCTGTTACTGTCTGACAGAAACGTTTTTCCCCAGTTGGGATTTTCACTGAGCACTGGAATGGCTGGACAGAGATGAAAGGATGAGCTCTTCTCCTTTGAGAGGCTGGCTGGGACTAAAGAGCCTGACCCTTCCCTGCTCTTTGGCAATTCTGCAGCCTACCAGAGGGGCTGCGAAGCACTTTTCTTCCTTTTCTCCTGCCCTGGGTGATGCTAAGTACAAGGATACCCATCGGTGCAGGGCATTGAAAGGTGACCTTTTGGTCTCTTCTAACCAGTGGGCAATGCATCTTTCTGTTCAGCTTTTCCCAGAAGCTGTTGCAAAAGCTTCTGTCAGCAGGGTCAGGGCGGTCAGGCTCAGCCTGAAAGAGATTATATAAATTCAAGCCCCTGGCTTTCTGCCCTCACCTAGGCTGCAGGCTGTGAGCACCGACCACAGCAGAGCCTGTGAGCATCTCTCTGTCAGGATAAACAGATTAGGTCCAGACCACTATCCAGTTCTCATGAGATCAGCCTCATTTAAAAAGGTGTTAATTCCTCTGACACACATTTCATGCAGGATGGACTGAGATTGGAGGAATTGCTGGCTCTAAGCTGGCCAGATCTGCAGGTCAGCATGGGGAGAAAGGGTATCTGTCCGCTCAGTCCTTGCTAGTGCTGGGGATTAGCTGAGCCAGGCAGCATGCTGGCTGTTTCAGCAGCACTGCGGGCTCCATCCTTGCTCAGGACTGCAGTCCCCTGGGGCACTCAGCACTGGTGACTCCATGCCCTGGTCGGAGAGCCCGTCACAAGGGACGTGTCTGTGTCCTGCAGCCCCGAGATGCTCTTCAGGAAGATTCCTATCCTATGGATTGACAGCATCCGGGCTGGACTTAAGGTGGCAGCTGAGCTTCTATCTTGAGTTTGGCTTGTACGTTTAATTAATTCTTTGGCTCTAATATTTAATCTAACAGGACTAACTTACAACATGAACAGCAGGAAGAATTTTTTTCTTTAAAATTTGGCATAAACCTGGAGGATTTGAAGATTCTGCTGTCTAAAAGTGGAAGGGGAAAAAAAAAAATATCTCATGATTCCTTTTGCTTCTTTGTATCATGATTCTCTTAAAACAAGTGACTGAATGCTGATGAAGCAAGGAGAAACTGTGCTGTCTTCAGTCTTCATAGCTCAACTCTATCCTGCAACACTGCCTGCTGCTCTATTCTGGTCTAATTTCCAAAGTCATTAGCTTGTCAACTGGGGCATACAACCTTGCTCCTGGAGCCTTTTTCTTCATTCAAAAGTAAAAACAGGCTTCTATCAACTTTCCTGTATGACTAGAGTTTAAAGAATAATACAGTGGTGAAACTGGAGGTTCAGAAAAGAGAGGGTTCCTCAGTCTTTCCAAAATCCTTTCTTCCTTTAATTCCCCAACAGTTCCCTCTGGTGTCTAACTAGGATATCTTTAAAAGATCTCATGCTCTGCTTCTACACACTTTCACAGAAAGTGGGGAAAAGACCAAAGTTGCTAGAAATTCCTCATTAAAAAAAAACAAAAACAAACCACTTTCAAAAATAAAAGCTTCTATCAAAAATATAATTCAGGATGCAATGTAAATGTTAGAATTTCCAAAGTGAAACACCTAGTCTCCTGTAGACAGGGAAAAAGACTTAAGTAATGATCCCTTCCTAATACAAAAAGAAAAAAACGTTCTGAATTTAATTCACTGGTCAAATGAGAAATGTTGTTTCATACAAAGGGTGTTGCATTAGGAACAGTGAAACAAAGTTTCTGTTTCAGACTTCTACCATATTTCTAGGACCTCTGCCTCTCCACGTTGGTTTTGGAGGCACAGTGCTGGCAGTTTTTCCATATTTTGGACCCTTGCTGTCCTGGAACCTCTTCTGTGCTACCTAAATAAAATGTGGCTGCAGCAGAAAGGAAGAAATCTTACAGAGATCTTAATTTCAGTAGGTTAAGTTAGGAACTGCTGAGCAATAGTTGGCAACTTTTTTCTTTTGTAGTGTTCTTTACTACAGCCTCTAAGTGCTGATGCTACAGGCATTGGCAAGAAGGAACAAGGACCTCTGAAGAAAGATAAAGGGGATCTTCTTTTATGTTGCAACCTAATTACAGAAATGTGTCTGGTACAGACGGTGCTGCACACACTGCGAAGTGAAGGGTTTTGTTGGTGCTCAGGGGGCACTAGGCACCCAGCTGTCCTGAGGGTACACAGGCCTGCAATACCAATAACACAAAGGATGAGCTTGCAGTCCTGATATGCCTTGGAGGCCTCAAATCCTTTTCCAGAGCCATTCTGGGGAAGTTACTTCCATCTTTTTGGCCAAGATCCAAAAGGCACTTAGGTTTCTCAGTCTGTTCATAAATGATTCCCTTTCTCCAGACTCTCTTTCTTTAGGTATGAATTTATCAGGGTAAGGAGTGTCTCCTACAATATACACAGGACCTGGGACAGTGATCCTTGATTTTGAATGCTGTGCCATTCTATTATCAGTAACTTTCTTTATCATTATCTTCTCTAAGGAGCTTTCTCCTGTTCTATCAGTGTTGAGTGGAACAGGCATGTACCTGGAGCAGAGGTTTTGCCCTTAACTCAGTGGCATTATTCTAGTAAAGGGTCTAAGAAATAACCTTTTGGAGAGACTGCAGCCCATCCTTGCACAGACCCTGTTGTATTAGACTTGCTTAAGTACATATGGTCACACTCCCATCTAGTGGCTGCCGCATACAGAGACTAACTCAAAGTCTTGCCTAGCTGAAATGAGAGGGGAAGTTGTCTTTCAGAGAAGATCCAACTGTCCCATCAGTCCCGTTTATTCAATATCCACAAGCCGTGGTAATAACAGCCTCTCTAGCAAGACCAGTGGCTTACAACAGTAGTGTATTCTGAGCTGGGGCAGCACTGGAGCACTCTCCTTGGCCTGGGCTGGCAACCTCAGGCCCCCACGATTCCTGCTGAGGTCCCAGGGCTTCACCAGGACACCAGCCTGCACCAGAAAGTGAAGTGTGTGTTGGCCCGGGGTGGGAAAATGCTGCACATTTAGAGGTGCAGGAAGGATGAGGAGGCTCTGAGGGGAAGCAGTCCCTCTGGTCTGGCACTTTCTGATGCTAAAGACAATGGCATGTCCTCTTGTAAGGTTTTGGGTCTATCCTTGTGCTGCTGATAGCATCTTTTGGGAGGACAGGAGGCAAGGGCAGTAGAACATACCTAGATGAATCTGGCTCTTGTTAGGCTACTGTTTGCAACATGATGGATGTCTTCACTAAAATCTGTCAAAGTGGACACTTATCTGTCTTGCTGTCCTTATCAAACCTCCTTTGTTCCCTCGATCAGTTTGTGCAGCTGGGATTTTGATCTGGAGAGTCCTTTTTGTAACCTCTGTGATAGACACGAGAGGTGTTGATCTGCTTAGCTTCAATCTCTCTTTGAATGGACAGCAGATAATCTCTTTAGAACAAGTAGGGCAGTGGAGGGGTGAGGTGTGTGCTGAGCTGGGAAAGAAAATATAAAAAAAGGTATTTTTTGAACATGCTTCATCATTTCTGTGAAAATGAACCTCCACACTCTGTATTAAAGTTGATGCAAAGCAGCACATTAAAAGTTTGTGTACAAAGACGCTGGGTCTGGGTGGAGTTATGGTGTCCCTGAACCCTGGGCAGTTTAAAAGAAGGTGTCTCTTAGTCCTGAGCCGATCAACCCTTGGCATGGGGAGTTGGACCACTGCCTGCAAAGTGCTGTGGGTACAGCTGACCACGGCAGTGATGATACTGCAGGTGGACTTTTAGAGGAGTTCAGTGTTGATCTGAATCAAGTACAGATTGGCTTAACCATCCCAATTGGAACACAGTGTGTGTTTTAGATCTCAGCTGGGATTTTAACCACTGTCAAAATGACAGTTCTTCAAGGGTTTTAACTTCTTTTTCCTCTTCTTTAGGTTTATGCCTTTGTGAGGGGCTGTGTGCACAGCTGGGGAGGTGTACAGGTAATGAGCTCTCCCTGTGTTCATCTTCCCTTTAGAAATCGGGCTCATATAGGCTGAGCAGCTCTTTCTCAAAAATGTAGTTAGCACTGGATGCTGCTGGTTCAAAGCCTGGGTGAGGTCTGTGCTGAGAAGAGGGAGGAAGGTGTGACATGCTATGAGATGGACAAAGCCTGTAACTCTCTGCCCCTGGTGCCAGAGAGACAGCAGAAGATGGGGTACTGCAGTGACCACTACCATTTGCAGAGACCCCAGCAACAGCAGCAGCTCTACCTGCCCTCATCCCCTCTCAAGCAGTAGCTGCCACTGCAGCAGTAACTATCTTGGTGCAGGCAGAGTAGATACGGCAGGGCCAAAATGTGACGAGTTTGTCCTTGCCAGCCATGCGATCGGAAGGGATACGTCCCACTGCTGCGGAGCTCCCCCCACCTAATGCTATCTGTGATACTCAGAGCTGCATTTCATCAGTTGCCGATCCCGAACACTCCAGATTCCCAGTTAAACTGTTCTGTGCTCAGGGCTGCAAACCCAAGTCCCTCAGGCATGGAATATTCACTCACCATCTGCCAGGGGGTCCAGGGTGTGGATCATGAGTTGGAAGATGGTGCTGCGCATTTGGGAGTTGTGCAGGGAGGCTGAGCTGCTGCCTCGCTGTAAGGCAGATGCAGGCTACGGAAAGGTACAATGCAGCAGTCAGTAGGAGTTTCCTTCTCAAAACATCTCCACCGCTGGTTCACCTCTGCCCTGGGGATGCATTTATATGGAGGCTGATCTCCCCCACCCAAGGAGCAGCCTCAGCATGGATTTTAAGCAGCCTCTGCATTCAAGTGCACAGGATGGCTATCAGGACCGACCGTTCACAGCAAGAGACATGCTCTTGAGATATCAGGCCAGCCTGCCCTTAGATAAATGTAATGGGCTCACACAGACTCGGTGTCAATACAATGTTATTATAAATTCTAATAATCAAAGCATGCAGTGCTTTTAGTCATAAGCTTGTTAAAAACTGTGTAGATTTATGTGCTGCTATAAGGCAAGGTCACGTCAGGTGTCCTGACTTAAAACTCAAAAGCTCCAGTGCTCTCTTCATATAGTCAACATCGGAGTCCTAATGAGCTTTTGACTGACCATTAATTACTAGAGGTAGGTTAAGTGCACAGAGGAACTACAGCATCCATACAGGGAAGCTAACACCCATTATGTTACGTCCGTATGCAGCCACTACATCAGCTAGGCCTCTCTGTGCAATGGGGAAGACAAAGAGTCAGCAGTTTAACCAGCAGCAGAGGAATGAGCTCTTCAGTGATTGCTGTGGGGAAGGACAGACCCTATCAACCTTTGCTTTGGGAGCCCAGGAGGAAAATTGGCCATGAAACCAGGTAAGAAAAGTCTGGTCTGAATTTTTCTATGCCTGTTTAAAGCATAGAAAGAATGGCACTCTGCTAGTCAAATCCACTTGGGAAGCCTGAGCTGTCTCTTAATTTTTATAAAAATTCTTTGAGGACACAACTCAGCCAGGTGTCCTCTTAAGTAAACTGTGGATATTGTGTCAAGCATGTCTGGTTCTTTGCACAGAGTAGACTTTGGTCCAGGTTTCTTGACACAGAAGTTGACACCTTTATTCACAACCTGACACAGGGAGAGGTTCAAAATGCAATGATTTCAGATCCCTCTAAAGTTGCTTAGACCTACCTGCAGCTTCCTCACATCTGCTGGGTTCTTTGCTCCATCATGTGCAACTGTCTCACTGCTTTTCTGCAAGCAAACAAGAACAAAAACGACTGAACACCACTACTGCTTCACCTGCTTTTTCAGGATCTAATGACAGTTCTTCTCACTTAGAAAGTGGGACAGCTAATACAGATGACTATGTGTGGATGCTACTGAAAGAGCCAAAGCCATGTGCTCTCCTGAAAACCATGTGGCCTCCAAGAGAAACAGGTTTCTACCTAAAGCTCCTCAGTGAGGATGTGGGTACCCGGAGGTAGACTCAGATGGCCACTACCACCTGATTCCTGGGGATATAGGCAGCCCCAGACTTCATGCCCAAACATCCGTTTCCTTACTCGTTTTCCAGCAGAGATAGACTAAAGGTGCAAAGGGGTATTTTTCCCAGTGATCAGCATTATCTTCCATATAGGTAATTTATTTTTCCAAAGGGTTAGGTCCAGCAGCTCTCTGCCATGCTACTATACACTAATGAGGGATCTCTGTAAACTTAAAGTGCAGGTTTTTTTCCTTCAGTCTGAAGGGCTGGATTCAATTAATGATGACTGGTGATGTCCACAGTGACGTATGTGTATAGCTGTGGTGTCCTGCACATGCATAGCACTGGAATGTAACACATGAGCTTTCAGGACTCCCAGCCACAAACACTGGCTGAAAGACAGACCAGGAGGAGGAAAGAAAAGCACTTTCTCAATTCTGCACCACTTCAGCTATCCTCACCCCTCTTCCTTTCTTTCCTTAAATTATGTGGAGTGCTGAAATCAGAAAGGGCAAAGCGTTCTTGAGTGCTAGTGACACACATCTGACCAGTAAAGCATGCCAATGCCAGAGGACAATTTGAAATCTGCTCAACAGTTGGCAGTAGCACAGGTCAAGAGGACAAAGAGGCATGAGGAGAGTTGGGGAGGGAAAGAGGTGGAAGAAGTGGGCAGGCACACTCAGGAAGACAAAGCCCCAAGTGTTCTAGAGACCATGGCCAGATCTGCTAGTCTGAAAGGGTAACTAGCACTGGGGACACCTTCAGATACTGTCTTTGTGTAAGCAGTCAACTCTTCCTTCAAAAGACAATGAGTGAAGGGCCCTGGTCTCAAATTTGGTGCAGGTAGTTACAGCCACAAAACTCCCTGTCTAGGCACCAGCAGCCTACAGAATCATCTCTGAGCACACGCAGCCATGGCCAGTGCACGGACATGGATTTGGACATTTCAATCTTGTTGCCAAATGCTGACTGGGAGAGGTGGCAATGGTCACCAAAGGCTGTCAGATCTCCTTCTGTGCTGCAGATTGGGTAACAAGTGATACCACCAGCATGATACCACCAGAGTCCCAGCAACACACCTACCTTTAGAAAGGGAAAAGAGAATTTCCTCCAACATCTCTCATCTGCAACTGGACAGAGCCTCTTACCAGAAGCCTTTTTCCCCCTGTTTAACAGAATTGTCCAATCTTATTCCCTGACTAAGAATGTGTTCCTGAAAGTGTTTTGGTTTGGTTTTTTAAAAAAATCTTTTACAATAACTGTGTAAGCAAAATCCCACACAAGTCTTTGAAAGTAGATAAGCAACCACAACTGGTATCTTTAGTAATTGCAACAGTAGAACTCCCTTTTAGTGCTGTTCTGTAATTTCTTAGAACCTCTACTAACTAGATTGCATTTCCCTCATTTTATAACCATAATTATTGACCGGTACCTGTATTCTGAGGTTTTGTTTGAATATGCACTTTGTGAAGGAGATGCAGTTTTTCTTTGTGGTTTATGCTAGAATTAATTATTTCCAACTTGCCCTCTGAAAATAAGGACACCAACCTTCCGTATATGCTCTGCTGATGCTGCCTGCACAGCATTTAGCCTCTTGTTCAGCTCCTGCTTCACCCATTGTTCTAGGTACACGTTGTGTTTCATAGTGAATACATATGTGGCATAGGCAGTCAGTAAAAGGAGGCTTTCCCACCAATCAATGACACTGTCTAGGAAAAACAGGATGAGCATCAGTAAGTCTACAATGTAGAATGAGATGTCTCTAAATAAGGGCCACCATGTCAGGTGGAGTATCTCCCTTGAGAAGAGGGCACAGGTGCCAATGACAAAGAGGATATTAAACACTGCTGAGCCCACAATGGTACCGATGCCCACATTGCTGTGTGAGATGAAGACACCTATGAGGGAGGTGAAGAGTTCTGGTGCTGATCCACCTGCTGCCATGAAGGTGGCTCCAGCCACATCTTCAGAGATCTGCAACTTCTCTGTGATCACTCCCAAAGCAGGGACAAAATACTCATCACACACTATGGCCAAGGCCACAAATACATATGTCATGCCAAAGATGTGAAGTACAACCCACCCTTGCCTGCGTTCTTCCACACTGAACAGGTCCTCGGGATATTCTCCTTTAGATTCATGTGGTGGCTTTCCACCTGGGTAGCTTTCACTGACATTTTCTTGCTGTGGTGTTGTATCTACTGATGTAGTGATGGGCACAGTTGGCTCAGTATCCACATACACACAGTGCCTTATTTTGGGTGTTGCTGTGACATTGCTTGTTACGGCAGTCTGGTTGCTGGGGAGGTCCCTGGAGGTCACTTTGACAGGGTCCGTGGGTTGGGGTGATGTGTGTGGTGCTGGAAGGGCAGAGGGGCTGAACTGGAGCTGATAAAGAGAGAGGGTCAACACTATGGCAAGCAAGAAAAGGATTCGGTTCCGTTGTAGCCGCCTTCTCCGTGGTAAATTCATTTCCTAAAAGTTCAAAAATCCAAGCCGTGTCCAGAAGCCACTGAAGACTTCTCTTGATCAGTAATTTACACTTATATCCACCATTGGAGATTCTCGTTGATCTTGAGCATCAGGAGTGAAACTGCATGACACAAAGTGAAGAATCCTGCAAAAGAAAATCTGGTGTAAAAAATAAAGTACTGCAACTTTCCAGCATTTGGGTAACATTAAATCACTGACTGCTTTTCTATTTTTCAATAAATAGACTTAAATGAGTACAGGCAGATCTAGATTCAGGTTTCAGTCTTTTTCTTTTATGACTGTAGGCTATGTTGATTAATATTCAAAGGTTTCACTTAATAGAGAGGAGTTGCCAAGACAGTCCAATCTGAGCTGAATTCTGATTTCACCTTGTGCCCATATCCAGGAGTTATTACGGCTTGTGTTTTCACTTGAGTCCAGTCGTTATTCTGTAATATTAATTATTGGGTCAGTGTTCTGCAGGAGGAAAGGACATGGCTCTGTCAAGGAACCTACTTTAAATTGCTAGAAAAGATGACACTCTGAAGACAAGATCATGCTGTTAAAACCTCCCTCCTCACAGACCAGTTATTCACCCAAGCAACCTCATCAGCAAGATGAAAACAGCTTGACAGTTCCCAGCTATGCTGCTCCATGGTTCTCCAGCCTTGCACTCCCACAGAACACACAGAAAGCAACGGTGAGCTTTTTTCTTTCAGTTTGAGAAGAGCATGAGGAAGACTTGGTTCTAGTAAAACTGAGGGTGCTGAGCATTCATTTGTTTCTATGACTACATCTTTTCAAGCCTTTCTGCAGAAATCAGAACTGGCAAAGTGGAATTGTAATCATACCTTTTATTAGGGGATAATTAGCATATCTTGCATAATTATTTGAACAGCTTTTAGAAAGGGAGAGAAATTGTAAATGCCAGAGTGACAGAGCCCACAGCTGTGACTGTATGGAGAGAGTAGAGTAATTTGAGGCTGGACAAAATTTATCCTTCAGCACTGCTTGAACATTTTACCTTAGAATATCACTCTTTATGGATTTTTTTTTTCCCAGAGTGGGGATGTTACATTATTTTGGAGCTGGATGTGAATCACAGTTTTGTAAGCCATTCTCAGATAAGCTCTTCATGCAAGTATGCACACACTTACCCTCTTGCATAACACCCAGTGAAGTAATCAGCCTAAATTTCTTGCAAGACAGGCATTATTACCTTCTTCTAAATAGTTGGGAGGATCACTAGGGCCAACAGTAATAGAGGGTGATGGGAGTACCTGGATAAATAGATGATATAAGCTTTGCTTTTCATATGTAAGAGTAACATAAACACGCATATGGCACAACTGCATAATATTATAACAAATTGCACATTATTAGAAAATAACCCTTCCTAACAAAGATAAGAGAGTAAAAAGAATGACATAGAACAGTATATGCACGCACTCCTATTTAAACACTGGTTTTACTTCTCTCCAAAATGACCTACTTGAAAGACCTTTTGCAAGCAGAAACGTATCCAAAGGTAGGATCAACTGTAAGTGCCTGCCAGCCTTTCACAATACCTGACCATCAGCCTCTTTGTTTCTCTGGTCTTGTAAGTTTAGCAGTTCTCTTAGAGGTCAAATCCTGATCAACTCCTTTCTCCCTGGTTGGACTGTCTCAGTCATAAGAGATCTGTTTGCAATCAAACGAACCTCCACAGCTTACCTTCCAAAGATACTGTCCAAAAGGAAGAGGAGTACCGAGGGTTAGGTGTAGTGCTGGAAGCTTCTTTGATACTTAACAGCCAGATGGGAGATGCTGTTGCAGAGAGAGGCAGATGAAAATGATCCCATTTTCACGATGCCTCTGCTGGCAGAGTTCTAATACAAGAGAGGGTCAGGTGTGAAGGACATATTACTGGAGGAATAGCCAATCCAGTTTAATACCTGCAGTCCCTAAGAAGATTAAATAGCATTGTATAGATTTGGGTCTATCTCTGAAGCCAATATCTTTCTCCGCTACTCCAGGTTATTCTCAGTATGAGGACAGGTGATTATCTCCATTGCAAACTACCAGATGAAAGCACCAACTGTGAGACATGTATCGTTCTCACAGCAGCTATAGAAGAGAGCAGCGGGGGTAAATCACACCGCTCCTCTGCATGGGGCAGTGGTCACTTAAACAAGGCAACTTGCATGTAGCTTCATTTTGAGGCATCTTGTACAGCTGACAGGCCCAGAGAAGCAGCTCTGCTGGCCTCTGCCATGAGTCTACTTTGTGATGCCAGAGGGAGGATTGAAACTCATTGTCTCCTGGAAAAATCCCTCAGCTCCCACACCATGACCACCAAGGCAGAGGGACGCTGCAGGGCCCCGTGCACAGGCATCCCTCCTCGGCAGAGCAATCCCAGGATGGTGTTTCAGTAACTCTTCTGTGCCGAGCGGCACTGACGTGGTGCAACTCCACAAAGGAAGGAGTAACATTTCTGGCCAAAGATTTAATGGTCATAAAAATCCAATCAACAGATTTCTCACGGGGAAATCAGAAAATTATTATCTGATAATTTTAAAGCAAACGGTTGTCTGGATGGACAGTTTGGCAACAGAGTTTATTGAATCCCCCACCCTTACGGCCACCTTCACAGAAGAGGGAGAAGAGGCCCCTTACCCACTCGGGGTGCTTATGCAGAAACGCTTCTCTAGGCGTAGCAGTCCTTTCTTATCGTGGCAGCACATTTCCACAATACTCGCATCTACCTCCACCGCTTTCCCTAACGCATGCAGCAGTACAGACTCCTGCTTTCACCGATGAAAGGACCGGTTTTCTCTCTGCCCGCCGCGGGGAGGCGGAGGGCTGTGGGGAGCGGCCCCTTCCCGCCTCGGCCGCGGCGTTCCGGGGGGACGGTTTCTGCGACGGACCCATGGCGGCACGGCGGGCCGGGGGTGAGCGCCACCATTTCCCTTCCCCCTCTCACCCCCCGAGACGCCCCGAGCTGTCCCGGGGGAGGGCTCCGGGGAGAGGCCCCGCCGAGGGGAAGGCTCGGGAGGGAGGGCTGGCTCCCTGCCGGGGGTCCCGGGCCTCCCCGCGGCCCTCGGAGTGCCGCTGCTGCTCCCTGTCCCCCATCGAGGCTCAGCCCTGGCCGCACCCGCCGTTTCCAGGCCTTTACAGCCGGCTGGACATGCTGCGTGTGGGTCGGGAACAGACCTGTTGACTCTGTGCTAAATCCCGCGTTTGGGGGGGCAAAAGGGTAATTGTCGCTTCCCGCACTGCGCAGGGGGTCAGAGGACCAGATGAAATCACTCCAAAACTGCAGCTACAGTAATCGTGTGCCATTTTCTTCCTCCTCATGCAGGGGATCACTGTTCTCCGCGGCGGTAGCAGGCAGGAGCAGCTCATCATGCCAACGGTGGTGGTGATGGACGTGTCGCTCTCCATGACACGGCCAGTGTCGGTGGAAGGCTCCGAGGAGTACCAGCGGAAACACCTGGCAGTCCACGGCCTGACTATGCTGTTTGAACACATGGCGACCAACTACAAGCTGGAGTTCACAGCCTTGGTGGTGTTTTCATCACTCTGGGAGTTGATGGTGCCCTTTACGAGAGATTACAACACGCTTCAGGTAAGGTGCATGAAGGAGCTTACAAAAGCAGTAAGCTGCCAACATTAAGAGAAATCCAAACCCCCACGCATGTTTCCAAATCATGTTGAAATTGTATGATTTCTTGTCATTCTGTCACAATGTCTTGAATTGTGTGTTTTATTTTTGTATTGGGTTTGCGTGGCAAGGTTTTGGTAGCAGGGGGGCTGCTGGAGTGGCTTATGTGAGAAGCTGCTAGAGGCTTCCCCCATGTCTGATGGAATCAAAGGCAACTGGCTCTGAGACAGACCTGCTGCTGGCCAAGGCTGAGCCCATCAGTGGTGGTGGTAGCACCTCTGTGATAAAGCATTTAACATGGGGGGGCGGGGGGACGGACTTAGGAGGACAATTGTAGCCAGAAAGAGGAGTGACAATATGTGAAACACCCAGGTCAGTGAAGGAGGGGGAGGAGTTGCTCCAGGGGCTGGAGCAGATTCCCCTGCAGCCCGTGGGGCAGCCCATGGTGAGGCAGCTGTGCCCTGCACCCATGGAGGCCCACAGGGGAGCAGATACCCACCTGCAGCCTGTGGGGGACCCCACACTAGAGCAGGTGGGTGCCTGAAGGAGGCTGTGACCCCATGGGAAGCCCGTGCTGGAGCAGGCTCCTGGCAGCACCTGTGGCTCTGTGGAGTGAGGAGCCCATGCTGGAGCAGGTTTGCTGGTAGGAGTTGTGACCCCATGAGGGACCCACACTGGATCAGCCTGTTCCTGAGGGGCTGCACCCCGTGGGAGGGACCCACGCGGAGCAGTTTGTGAAGAGCTCCAGCCTGTGGGAAAGACTCATGTTGGAGATGTTCATGGAGGGCTGTCTCCCATGGGAGGGACCCATGCTGGGGCAGGAGAAGAGTGTGAGGAGTCCTCCCCCTGAGGAGGAAGGAGCAGCAGAAGCAATAGGTGATGAACTGAACACAACCCCTGTTCCTCATCCCTTTGCTCAGCAGGAGATAATCAGGAGTAAAGTTGATCCCAGGAAGAAGGGAGGGGCAGGGTGAAGGTGTCATTTAAGATGTGGTTTTATTTCGCATTAAACTGATTTCTCCACGTTGTGTCTGTTTTGTACATGATGGTAATGCGTAAATGATCTCTCCTTGTCCTTATCTTGACCCAGGAGCCTTTCATTATATTTTCTCTCCCCTGCCTGGCTGAGGAGGGGAGCGTAGAGCAGACTGGGGGGCACCTGGCCTCCAGCCTTGGTCAATTGAGCAAGTCATTTTTAAGGCAGCACACTTGAATTCACTGTTTGCCAAGCTACCTTTGTAGTGTGGTTTCCAGAATGATTGGTGATTTCAGGATGTTGTTTTCAAAAGAAATTTGAAACACTTGGAAATTAACTCCTAAAATGCTACCAGGAACATTTTTAACCCTTTTGAAAAGTGTTTAGAAATACCAGCTGTTTGAGGAGGTGAACCCAACCAAGATCAACCCACCACAATCCTTATTTTAAGGATAGGTGAAATCAGTACATTTGGAACACTTTGCTACCTTGCACATTGTGCCTTAGCAGGTAACCACTGGAGTGTGACTAATTAAGTTACAAGTGGGGCTGGAGGCAAGGGCTGCCTGATGAAGCTCTTAAAGTGGTTCTGTGATGTTCATGTTTTTGTCTGTAGTTGTTGATTTGCTCTTGATAAATGATGCAGCAGAAAGGACCATTTAGAAAGGTTTTGAGTTGTTTGGTAGAGAGAAGATGCTTTTAAGAGTGTAGCGGTTGAAGCAGGTTTAGAATAAGTGATTTGAGGCCTCACAGATGTGATGGGAAGTTGGAAGAAAATGGAAAGGATAAAGTCCAAGAAGGAAATTTCATGTGAATGCAGTAAGTTGCTGAAAGTCTCTGAATCCAGTAAAAATTGTAGTATGTATCTGGTTATCATATATAATCTTAGGTCAAAATGACATGTCACTTTCACAGGGCACCATGGTTTAGGTTTGTCTGTGGTGGGACATAGAGATTTTAAATTATATTCTGGTATGTTTGCAGTTTAGCAGATGAATGCCAGCGCATTCTCTTTGATTTATTTTCTCCTCCCTAGGAGTTCATTTGAGGAATTTCTGAAAGCTAAGAATCCAGCCAAGCTCCTCTAGCATGTTTTACAGCTACACCCTTCTTATAATGCTGTGTTAAGTGTGAAGTTTTCACTTTAAGGAGAAAAGCTGGTTTATGGTTATGGAAACAGGATGCGGATGTGAGTTTTGGATTCTGTTACGCTCTCTGCCAAAGAGTTTTTCTGAGACAAGCTCCTTGCAGTCTACTTTCTGAATTCCTAAGAAGTTAAAGTTGCTCTGATGCCTGGGAGGATTTTCTAAGCTAAATGTTTCATGTTAGATGTTGCTTCAGATTTTGACTTTACTGTTTCTTTGAGACATGCAAAGGATTTTTTTTCTCTTAAAGAGCTGTGTTTGTAATATTACAGTTCCTTCAAAGTCAGCTGTCATTGTTGTCTCATGATATCATTCATTACTTCTTCGATATTTCTTTTAACTTTTTTTTTTTTTTAACTTTGCAGGTCATATATAACAACATAGCACTTTGCATTGTGCGACAGTACAGCTGTGTTACAATGCAAAGCAAACATACTGACCACAGGACTGTGAATAACTTTTCAGTGTTTTCAGTGTTTCCTGGTAGTGATACTTCACCCACTAATGACAGTGGTGTTTGTCTTTACAGGAAGCCCTAAGTAACATGGATGATTATGACAAAACCTGTTTAGAGTCAGCACTGCTGGGGGTTTGCAATATTGTCCAGCAGGAATGGGGTGCAGCGATTCCTTGCCAGGTACGACTGATTTCACTGTTCTTAGGATCTAGCATATACTTAGTACTCCCTATAAGTTGCTGATGGAAATGGAAATGTAATTTGAATACTCTCAGGCATGCTGGTGCTACAGGAAGAAAAAGAATTAGTATTTTGGATATATCTGGAATATGAGCAGAAGGTGGTCTTTATTAAAAAATATTCAGCAGCAAAAAACTAGACTGCTTCCTGTCCAGTGTGTCTTTGTAGTGGAGCAGATTACAAGATCTGGCCCAAGAGTACTGTTTTGCAGGCTTGGCATTTGATCTGCCTGCAATCTGCTGTCCCCGGAGCCTCGGTCAGTTTGGAAACTGTGTAGTCACACATACAGTAACCTTTCTCCTCCAGTACCTGATGGTTTCCAGGGCTTGTAACAGTTCCAGGTGTCAAGCAACAGCATGGGACTACTGCTGAGTGTGTTTGATCTGCTTTCTTTCCCTAACGAGTCATTTGGCAGGCATCTGATCACATGCTCCATTCAGCCCTTGCAGCTCTGAGCCTTACGAATTTGCTGCCTCTTATAGCAAAGTCTGCTTTTAGCCCCTGGTTTTCTGAGGCACTTAAGACCCTGTTGGTCTTTGGGTTAGGATTTAAGTTCAGTAATTTTGCAGCTCAGTGAACTAGGAAGATGTTTCAAGTAATACCTTAAGGAGGAAAAGGATAGATGTTTATTGGTTAGGCAATGCTTCATAATCTAACAAGGATGAGATGTAAAAACCAAGCATAATGCAGACCTCAACAATTTGGTCTCTTGTTTGCTCATTTTACTGGACCTTCAGGTGATGACATGATGAAAGGCAGTCGTGAGTGTACTGTGCAGAATCTTGTAGTGAAAAACATTACTGGTGAGTACAGATGGTAATTGAAGAGACTGTAAAAGAGAGTTTGAAGGTGAGGAGAGAATACAAATCTGATGTAGCATTGGGTTTCAATTGGATTTGATTTTCCTTACCTCTCAGCCAAAAATAATGCCTGCTGTTGTTGTGCAGTGTGAAAAGAACAGCTATTTTATTACTCTGGATATGACTGGGTCTCAGCTGAGTGTAGTTACATTATTCAACATAACCTATTAGTGCAGTTTCCACAAGGAGTGATTTTGGACATGCAACTGAATGGAAAAATGCATATTTTTGCTTTAATAGTTCTGCTGGAAAATGTGAACATACTGCAGCTGTATTTGTTTGCAAAGAGTTAGGGTAGTTAATACTACCTACTGTATGGCTTCTGTGGCTTGTAGTGGAAGTTGGGTTGCCCTCTAGATTCTGCAGAAGAAATGAGCTTTATCTTCCATCTGAAAATAAACCTAAAGTTCTTGAGTCCATCAGCAGCAGGCTGCTTTTTGGGCTGTATACTCACTGTGCTTCTAGTACACACTTAAAATGGTCATGTTTATGCACACCATGGTGTGTTGGTGAAATTTAAATTTCAGTGCAATTGCCTAATTACAATGACGTGTATATTTACCATGCACATACGTTTCATCACAGTGGTTAAATCTGCAGTTTCTCATTTATGTAACTGTTTCTGGAAATTTTACTTGCAATTCCTTCTACAGCTCAGGAAAGGAAATTCCCAGGTGAACAGGCATTTTTAGTATGGAAGTGCATGCTGCTAGCAAGACTACTGAAATGTTGGCATATAGATGCCCTCTGCAGATAGAAATGTGTCTTGTCTTGAAAATGCTGATTTATCCTCTTCCATTCAAGGTTGTTCTTGTCACTGATGGCTGCTTGGGGATCGGCAGAGGCTCCCTACGGCACTCTCTAGCTACTCACAACCAGCGAAGTGAAAGCAACCGCTTTCCACTGCCTTTCCCATTCCCATCCAAGTTGTATGTCATGTGCATGGCAAATCTCGAAGAGGTGATGTCTTTAACACGTACCTTCTTTGTTGCATTGGATAATTATTGGTCTTCTCTGAACTAATGATCAGGTCAGCACAAAACATACTTTGATGTTCTTGTGCTTAGTTTTAAAGTTGAATTGACGTTCCAGTGCTTAGTGTTAGTTCTTTGGTGAAATGTAACCATAGTATCTTTTTAAAAGTTTATTATTGCACTATTATTATCTATTGCATTATTATCAGAATCTTTATAAATCATATTAGTTTCTCCCCGAGGAATATTATGCAATCTTTATTTCCCTGTTTATGTTATTACTTTTACTGCATTAATTACATTGAATGTCTTTGGGGGGTTTTCTTAATCTACAGTTAAATTCTTGAATAAATTACTTCTATTGCAAAGATACTCAACACTTAAAACGACAATAGCTGTATGTAGGAAGGTGCATGAGCAAAATTTTGAAGTCTCCAAGCCAGTGTTCAAACCAGTTTCCCCTATTTTTGAAGGAAGAGTGACTTTTCTTTCTCTTCAGGTACCTTTGAAAAATCTCAATACCAGCTTTAACAATCTTCACAGTAGTTAGAATTTTGTTGAATAAAAAATGTTTAAAAAGAAGTTTATATAGACTAAAGTTCCTTTTATTGATAGCATTGCTTTTGACTTGACACCTGTGTTCTTCTGTCCATCACAGAAGGATTTTCTACTTAGGCATGCAATAGATATTTCAGCTTCAAGGTCTCTATCAAAGATGATCCTCTTGATTAAGCTGATGGATTGAAGCATTGTTTACACTTCAGAATAACTGGGAAAATGTTTAAAATAAATCCTCTATAACTGACAAGCATTCTCTAAGAACTTCTCAGAAATAATTATATCTGCCTTCCCTCCTAAAAATTATGTTATTCTGAAGGGTCTGGAAACTGAACATTGCCAACAAAATGTTATACTAGTTAAGGCATTCCTGTGCTCTTGAAGACTAAGAGCTTCTGGGATTTCTGTTTGCCTGAACCTGCTTTCGAAGCAGAAGCTAGCATGATAAAGCAATGTCTTGGGAGTTGGACTTGATGGTCCTTATGGGTCCCTTCCAACTCAAGATACTCTGTGATTATTTGTTACCGGGCCAAATGCTGCATCTGGTCTAATATAAATGCAACATAAGGAGTACATTTCCTGGGAGACCAGGAATGTTGGTTTATTCAGAAAGGAGTGAGATCACAAAAAATCATGTTAGCATCCAGTTGGATGCTTTTGTTGTGTGTATTTTCTGAAAACATACCGGTTAATAAAAAGAGAGCAAAAAGAAAATCAAAACATTTTACTTTATTTTTTTACAGCTTCAAAGCACAGATTCCTTAGACTGCCTGGAACGGCTCATAGATTTAAACAATGGGGAAGGGCAGATTTTCACCATTGATGGACCCCTTTGCCTGAAGAATGTCCAGTCAATGTTTGGGTTAGTAGATAATATGCCTTTGTGAAAGTTTCCAGTTAGTATCCATAAAGGAAAAGAAGTATAATAAGAAATCTGATGATATGACGTGTTCTAATTCTCATTTAGTTTATGATCTTGTTAACTGTATTTTCATCTTGACCTTCACTGGTTAAGGTCGATATTTATTTTAATTATTATGTAACCAAATCATAGTATCTGTTTATGATGGACAGATAGAAGATACTAATTTCCACAATTACTGTTAGTTTGCCATCAGTGTGATAATATGCTGCTTTGTTTCATAATTGAGCAATGCTAGAAATATTGAATTAACTGTAGTTAAAAAAAAAAAGGTTTGGAAGCTAAGTAGTGTTCTTCAGACAAACTATTTTCATGTGATATGTATTATGTTTTTCTTAATAACTGATCATGTTCTAGAAAGCTAATAGACCTGGCTTATACACCATTCCATGCTGTTCTCAAGTGCGGCCACTTAACATCTGATGTGCAAGTATTTCCCAGACCAGAACCTTTCATTATAGATGAGGAAATAGACCCCATCCCTAAAGCAATTAATACAGGTAACTCTCATATCTTTGACTGCTTTTTTACTTAAATCCATTTGATTTCTACCTTTTCACTACCACCTCTTATCCTGTATGTTTCACCCACTTTCTCTCTGCAAGGATCAATCACTCACTCTGTAATTTTTTTGGTATATGTGGCACCAGAGGACAAGAACATCATCCTGTTTCAGCCATGTGCACCTGTTAATAGGGTTGGAGTAGGGAAGAGGGACTTTCAAAGCTCAGGGTGACAATTTCTATGTGTTAAGACTGTGGAAGACAGCCACAGGCTGCTTTCCATGAATACCCTCATAAGCTTCATGGAGAGTGAGAGAGTTGTGTTTGAGAAGGGGCTGCATTTTGTGTTAGAGTTGCCTTTACCAGAAGAGCTCTGTATTATCAGGTGAGACAAACTAGCATCTTTCTGGAAGCTTCTTCAAGAAATCCACTAGGAGTAGAGTCGAGAAGAATTAGTGAGGCAGCAGAAGTAAAGGTTGAAATTTATGAAATCCCTGACTTTATACTTTGTCTGTCATTCTGGCACTTCTTACCAATAGTAAGTTATTTTTTAAAACAACTGTGCAAAGAAAACCTTTCTCAGCCCTCCCATTAGTGGACACCACACAGCAGGTAGGCTGTAGAGAGCCCATGCCTGTGTCTTGTGAATGGCTAGGTACACTTCCTGGAGAGAATACACTGAAGTTCACTGCTTTGCTTTAAGAATTAAGTTTGAACTGTAGCATCAAAATTGCTCTCAGCTCCTCAGTAGTGCACTCAGCCACTTGAAACACATCTTTTTTGTGAGCTTCTAGATCTACTGGCAATTTAATTTCCTGAATCTGTCCTGTAGACTTCTTTTTTATTCTCTATTCATCAGAATATGCACAGCTTGCATGTGAATAAGGACACAATAGTGGTAAAATTTTCCAAGGAAGTGAACTGCAATCCATAAATTACTGCCACCAAGATTGCCTTGATTTGTTTGGGGTTTTTTAAATCTGCAAGATATAAAACATTTCTCACTTGGGGTGTGATTGCTTCTTATTTAGCTGCATACTGTTTAAATAGGAATGAGTGCATCTGTACCAAAATAGCAAAAGCAAAGAAAAAGAGCATGCAGTGTCTCTTGATGAGGGAGGCTTTATGTTGCATTTGGTCTTAGAGTTCCTTCTGTCGTTCCAAAGATGGGAATTTAGCATCAAGGAAATTTTGTTCTGTATGCATTAAAATGCAGCATCTGGTGTGCTCAGCCCCTGAATTCCTCCATGGCTTTAATCAAGTGTTTGTTGTTCAGCTATGAGAAAAATCAGTAAAATTGCCTTTGGGCCACGTCCTTTGCTTGGGCTGTCAAGGAGAAGACTGTGCTCCCCAGTTCTGGCTGCCGTGCATGTTGAAAACACGTTGAATTTCTAATTGTGCCATACACATACAGACGTTTGTCCACAGCTAAAACACATCAACATGTGTCAGCATGGAGCACACGTGTCACCACGCTTCATGTAGAGAAGAGTTTGCAAAGCAGGTACTCCCTACATCCCTGCCAGGGTGGAGCTGGTCAAAGACTAATCCTAAACCACAAACCAAAACCTTCACATGGCTGAGAGACACGAACCTGAACAGTATTTCTTGCAGCCAAGAAGTGAGGAGGAAATCAGACAAGGCTGAGCATGAAGCACATGGCTGCCTCAGTCTTTTACCAGCAAATACCCACAACTCTGTATGAGATGGAGCTGCATTTAAACTTCCAGTGGGCGTGTAAAACTCAAGAGCCACAACTCAGTCTCCTCAGTCCTGAGAACATGCCCCACTGGGGCTAACCCTGCTAGAGTTGATGGAAATCCCTGCAGGTTCTGTGATGCCAGTGTGAAGCGAGTAGATGTGGTTTAGTCCTTTGTTTTCTTTCCTTTTGAATTTATAAGATGGCAATGGATTGTGTAGAGTGCAAAAAACAACATGCACAGTTTTGTATTCGTCTAGCAGCAGAGTTCATGGACAGCAGTATGTGTGTGATGAAAGTTATGTTTTCATCTTAGACTGTCGTGATACTATGTAGGAGTGTTTGTATCTTAACACCTAGACACCCCAGTCAGGGTTGGGGCTGTGTTGTGCTACTTGTGGTCACTGCTTCAGAAAACTTAATGGTGCAAGAAATGGTAATGTTAAATTGACTCTGAATACATTTCAGCTGTTTCCAAATCTGACTTAATCCTGTTGTCTCCCCACAGATTTAGAAATTGTTGGCTTTGTAGATATAGCTGACATTTCTAGCCCTCCTGTCTTGTCCAGACACTTGGTGCTGCCAATTGCACTTAACAGAGGTGAGCAAGTTTTGTGTCTTTTAGCAAAAACTGCTTTAAGCTTCCCTTGTAACGTCTGTGGTGTTTTAGACTAGAAGCACAGGTTTTATGCTTTATTAAAATGCCAGATGTCTCTAAAGACATGTTTGTGTGGTTACATTAAAATTAAAACATTGAACACAAGCTCCTTCTTTTTTTGAATACTGTGTTCTTTAGAAAGTTAATAGAGGGAACAGTGTCCCTATAGCATCATTATTAATAAAACATGCTAAACTTAAAGCTAAAAATAGTTACGAGGCATGAAATATGTGATGCAAGATTAATAGTTAATGCCTGAATCTAATTGGTTCTTGGATTGATTTGTTGTTGTGAAAAATCTGATCTTAATCACAACTAGATTGCTCAGTTGTACTTGAGCATTAATTGCTGCTCATTGGGGCTGAGTATACATGTATCTATACAAATGACTGGTGTAGGCTTCAAGGATGGTTAAGCATATCACTGACTTGCAGCTACCTGAGTGCTTGTGATAAGGACTTCCCTTTTTCTTTTATCATGGCCTTGGAGTGGAGCAAAAAGAAAGTGAGATTTCTTTTGGTAAAGAAGAATGAAAGTTCTAGATATGCTTTCATCTCTGTCTTAACACTCTTATCCTGCTAGGCCTTTCACCTTAGAAGATACTAACAGTTAAGTCACAGCTGTATTCCAGCTGCTAAAACATAGTGAGTTTCTCATAATGACCACAAATTGCATAGGAGAGGAGGACTTGAAATTCAGCATGCTTTTGGTTCAGAAGCAGACATGTATTTGTTGACAGACTCTTGCTGCCATTTCGTTACACTTCTAGTTTCTTCGAAGCTGAGGTTTTATTTGCAGTTTTTTGGTAACTCTGTTTTGTGAGTAGGATGCAGTGGAATATTTATATGGCATTATAGTGCCACTTTGCCCAAACAGTTCATTTAGCAGCTGTTCATTCTATAAAAGTATTAATTAACTCTTCCATGTCAGAAAAACACAGGAAGGTGTCATGGAAATTAAACTAGTGTGATTGAATTTATTCTTACGTTGTCTCTTGGTTTGCTTTTATTCTTCCTCAGAAGGTGATGAGGTGGGACCTGGGATCACAGATGACACTGAAGATGAGAATTCAGCTAATCAGATTGCCGGGAAAATCCCCAACTTCTGTGTTTTATTACATGGCAGCCTGAAAGTGGAAGGCATGGTGGCTGTCGTCCAGTTGGGGTATGGAGCTGGATGTCTGCCTGAAAAATCTCTTTGCTCATTTTATGCTTTATTTATAAATTATGCTTATTTATATCTGTATTCTGTAGAGAACTCTGCACTGCTAGACAAAGCTGTGGATTTTTAGCTGTGAATATGTTTCTGCCAGTATAAATAGCAAATAGTGGGCCTCTACACAGTGGGAGGGAGGCAAATTCTAGGCAAAGAGGGGTGGAAGATTTTCAGCCTTTGGAATATGCTCTTTTTGATAGGCCAGAGTGGTATGGCATGCTCTATTCACAAGCTGATAGCAAGAAGAAGTCAAACCTTATGATGTCGCTCTTTGAACCTGGTCCTGAGCCCCTTCCATGGCTCGGGAAGATGGCACAGCTTGGACCCATTTCAGGTACTGCTCACACTGATCTGAATAACTCTTACATATTCAGTGTTGCGTGAATGACCTTGCCAAGTCTTGGTTGTTAAGTCTGTTTATTGTTTTTTTTCTTCCAGATGCGAAAGAAAATCCTTACGGAGAGGACGACAATAAGAGCCCTTTCCCCTTGCAACCCAAGAACAAGCGCAGTTATGCACAGAATGTCACTGTATGGATTAAACCAAGTGGCCTCCAGGTAATGACACAGGTTTTAGACTTGATGCTTTGGTTTGATCAGAAGTAGCCATCTTGCCAGCAAAGAGGAGTCTGTGTGTGTCTTGTTCGTTTAATGTAATTGCTTTATTGCTTTTCTTTCATTTTTATAAATGCTGCCTCTTTAAAATGTCGTGATTAAAATGCAGTCAGAAAGCGTAGCTTGTTAATGAAAGCTGTGTCTCCAGCGTAGCATCTGGCATAGTTTATTGGATTTAGTATAATTACCGTTTATGTTTCAGCCTTTGTGAGCTGCAGTATCATCAATGGTCAGCATAATTTATCAATAAATAGTTGAGGATTTTTTTCTGCAACTTCCCCGGCAGTTGCTAAGATTTTATTTTTTTTTTAATTTTCTTTTCTGCAGACAGATGTACAGAAGATCTTGAGAAATGCAAGGAAACTCCCTGAAAAAACTCAAACCTTCTACAAAGTAAGTAGCATTTCAGGCTAGCTCAGGTTTGATCCATAGTGATAGTGGTGCATTTGACAGAGAGGCACATACTGACACAGACATGTCTGTGTCTGGTATGTTCTGTGCAGGCTTGTAGGGCTCTGCAAAAACACACGTAGTGCTGCCTCTATTTTACAGACAAGTTAAGGTGGGACGGGGGGGTCTGGTTTCCCTGCCACCACGTTCTCTGTCAGGGTGGCATAGACATGTCATATTTACAGGTGCCCCTCTTGATCCCTGCTACTTCCACGGTGAACTTCTTTGCAGATTTTATGCAATTGTCCAGGCAGAAATAAACTGGAGAGGAATAGGAACACAGATGTCATTCTGAATCTGAAAATGTCTCCTACACTTTTAATACAACTGAAGCAGAGAAATACAAAATTCCAGACACATTTGGCCACGTCATAATAATCCATAATCTAGACTGTAGCTGGAGGTAATTGTTCCTCCTGTAAGCTTAGTGCTGAAGCAGTTTGTTATTGTAGCCCCAGAGACTTCAAGAATGAATACCCTGCCTAAATGCACATAAGCACTTGTCAGTGTATAGTGAAGAGAAATCATTATATATACATTTTGCTGGACACTGTAGTTAAAGGCAGCAGTCTGTGAAGCCTCAGTTGGAGGCCACCCCCAGCTGGGACACGGACAAAACAGGCAGGTACGATAGCTGAATGTACAAAAGGAAAAAGGGAGAAGTGGAGGTTTATAGGAAGTGATCAAGGGAAAACCAACTGTTTGGTTGTGCCACTATCATCTTCAGCCCTGAAGCATTTTCTATCTCCTGAGCAGCTGGGGAGTTTCCAGCAGCGGTACTGATCACTCAGGTTATTTTCCTCTAAGTGAATAAGCCTGCCTTTAGAAAACCGTATGTAAAGGCTTACAGTGCCTTTAATAAGGGTTTTCCTTCTTTGCAGGAACTTAATCGTTTGCGAAAGGCAGCTCTGGCCTTTGGCTTTTTGGACCTCTTGAAAGGCGTGGCAGACATGCTGGAGCGGGAGTGCACTCTGCTTCCTGACACGGCTCATCCCGATGCAGCGTTTCAGCTCACACATGCTGCTCAGCAGCTTAAAGTGGCAAGTACTGGAGCATCGGAATATGCTGCCTATGATCATAACATTGCTCCACTGCAGACAGACTTTTCCAGTAGCACCACTGAAAGAATGTGAAGTCTCAATTTTGGGAACTTCTGTAGATTGACTCAAGTGGTTCAGATTTTCTTTTCCTGTTTACTTTCTAGGACCCATTTTAATTACTGTTTGGAGAGCTTCCTATCAAAATGGGGTCCCTTACCTGCATCAGTGCTCTCTAAATAAATGTAGATAGTTTGTGGTGGCTTTAGTCAGACCTGGAAACTGTGGAAAGTGTCCCAAAGTCAACTACTCTGTTGGATGAAGGGTGGGAGTTAGTGTGAGGAGAGAGAAAATGCCATCATAGGCAGAAGACTGCTCATGGCTTTTGGCCTCCCCAAATGCAGTTTCTACATAGCTGAACTTACTGGTAAAGGTATCCTAAAAGGCAGCTACTATACTTTTTACACCAACTTGATTAGTCCAAAGAAAATGTGTGAAAATCACTGTGCCAGATCAGATACACAGCTAATTTCAGGGTGTTGTCACTAATTTTATGCCCGACTTGAAAACCAGTCTGTACTGCCATGAGTTATCACTTGCATTGCAGTGCTTATGCTTGTAAGAGTAACTTAATCTTGTGAGACAAGTTTTTTATTTGTGTAATATTAATAAAGAGTAATTCTTCATGAAATTTTAAATTGGATCTGTTCCATTTACATAGTAACTAGTCTGTGCGGCCTAAAACATTGACCTGGCCAAGGCTCGGCTCCCAGCTGTTTATCACAGGAGTTAAATAATAAATTATACAACTTCTGACATTCAGGGAAAGAACAAACAACTGAACTAAAGCAAAATTTGGTTGTAAATCTTTATTAATATAAACATATTCTTTCTGAAGGACTAAAATTCAGTAGTGTAAGATCCATGACAGCTTGCACTAGGTACCACAGTTTCACCGAGAAATACAATGTATGAATACATACGGATTTCAAAACAGAAGTTTAAATGCCCAGTGGAGAAATTAAAGTATGAAAGTGATCCTTGCTGTTCCATTACTCAGCTAATTCAATCCTTTGACATACTTCAAACATAGATACAGTATGGGCTAAGTGAAATATTAAGTGTGTAAGTAACTCTCCTTGAGTGAAGCTGCACTCTCCTCTGAGGGGGAGTCTCAAGTATCCCTAAAGAAAAGTTGTATTAGGCCTCTTGGTGAGAGAATACAATTTGTGAAATGCAGTGTGTTTCTTTGTTAAAATCTCGTATTTCCTCTTCTTTAGTGTAACAATCACTGGGTCTATATCACAAGCAGTAAGCTGTTATCTTTAATATAGAAAATAATTTTCTGGAGGGTTCATATTGTTTTACAGTAGAAAAAGATGATAATAACAACATGGCACTAAGCTGATCTCCACTTCAGTGCCAGTGCTGGATTGCTGGCATTGCTTTGCATTGCCCTGGGGGCGGTGGCAGTTGTGAAGCAACCTGTTTGTAATCACAATATGGTTTAGAGCAAACTTTTTGTACATTTTCCATACTGGATTAAGGAGGCCAGAGGGATCTGGAATTAACTACAGGAGGCTAGGTGTGAAGAAGGCTGCATTGAATTTAAGCCAACTGAAGCAAAGGTTTCCAGGTGAGAGAGTAGATGACCTAGAACGTGGGGAGGAGCTTCTCTTTTTCTGTTGTTGCTGCTGTTTAAAGCAAGCGCAGAGGAAAGGGTCCCTTCAGACCTTGTGTGGGATCTCCCTTACTGAGATACATGCTATCAAAATAATACACCGTTTATTTGATTTACTACTCCATCCCACCAGAGGCCAGCCAACAAAGCATATACACCAAATTCTCAGCTGCACCCCTAAGTTTAAGTAGAAAAGCAATCTTTACGGCCTTTCTGAAGGCTCTAAATACAGGAGCTACAGCTCTGCCAGGAATGATCAGAGGAGCCCCAGTCTCCCATGACAGTTTCACATTTTTGCTTTGCATGGGTGGGATGGAGTTCTGCTGGGGTTTATTCACAGGCTAGGAGAAAGCTGGTACCTCTGTTTCCTTGTTCTGTTCTGTTTCAGTGCTTGCATTACCGATCAGGAAAGTGTTTCTGACTGTGTCACAGAGTGGCAGCTTTTTTTCCCTAATGACTGGATAAGGATGTATTGCTAATTCTAAGATCCACATAGCGCTCCTATTCTGTTAAGGCTAAACAGACTGAAGTTGGTAGCATTTAAGTCAACTCTAGCAACTTCCAGTTTGAATTCTGCAGCACCAGTATGCTGCAGAAGAGAAGGGGTATGTGCTGAGCAAGTTGACCCTAACCGTTAAACACCCAACCACTGTTCAGTGGTCTCAGACTGCACCCTAGGAACAGCACAGGCCAGCTAATAATATATCCCCACATCAGAAGCCCTATCTGCATCCAATATTGAAAGAGCAAATATACAATTAAAAGATAAACACTATTTCTATTTAGTGCTGCTCCACTGTTTATAAGCATATTATATGCAGATAATAGGATTTCTTTCTAACATGGTAGTTGACAGGATACACATTTAAATGTTAGTTCAGTGGTAAATGCCATGCATACATGATAGAAAGGGAACAAAATACAGGATATGGGAAAGTTACCTGAATTCACTATGAAATCATGAGATCTAGTGTGATCATTTAATTTTACAAAATTCTTTACATTACAGTGGGTAAAACCGTAAGAATTAGAGGCTTATCTTGTCATTGAGATAAGTTAGATAAGAAAGCATTGCAGTCCTCCTTTACTTCATCTTTCTCTTCTTTGGTCCAAGGTGCTGTTTCCTTTGCTTGTACAGATGACGGAAGTTTACAAATACCCCTGAAAAAGAATGAAATGTTTAGGTAGGACATCACTATGTCTTTTTAGCCCTAGATGGCTGTACCAAATTTAAAAACACAACAACAAACAAACCAACGAAAAGGAAAAGGTGATGGTTTAACAGAGTGTATAGCATTGAAAACTAATGCAAGTTTTTTCTTGCTGTGTGAGGCAGGAGTTGCTGCACAGGCTGTTTGGTACCAGGCTGCTCAGAATGTTGGTTTGTCACTTTTAAAAGGTTGCAACACTGGCTGTGCAGAACCATTTAAGGATGAAACAGGTATTTCAGAGTGAAACTTCACTAAAGGTATTCTTTAAGCAATGTCTGTGAACGGGAGAAATCTAATGAAAGTTCAATTTAAAATTCCAGGTTAGATTCTACAGAGTTGTGGATACCCAGACGTTACTGGCTGTGCATACTATGAAGTTAGCTTATGTTTAAAAATGTAACACCAGAAACCAAATATGTATCAAGCACCATTCTTCTTTAAATATGCTGCTATTTAGAGAGCCTTCTATATTGGTTCCTGGAAAAACATGACTTCATGTTGCATTAGTGATTATAATGCTGTTTAAACATTGCCTTAATTTGAAATTGTGTTCAGATTTCCACTAAATATTGCAAAGCTCAAAAACCATGTAAAAGGTGAAACTAAGTATACCCAGGTTAAATACATGTAAAAATTATTCTTTTAAGATAAGTGATCAGTAGATAATGCTGCTAAGTTGTTACCAAGATCTCCCTCTTGGGGGGGCCAACCAGTGCTGCGTGTAGGTGTGTTCCCCTCCATCACTGACAAAGTTAACATAAACAAGCAACAAGGATAATGCTTAACCTCAAGCAATTTAATTTTATTCAAAAAACATACTTATTCAGAGGAAACTGGCCTTTTTATATCAATAGTGAGAAACATAATTAAGTATCTTACCTAAAAACAAGGCTATAAGGTATATTTGAAGCAAAAATGAAAACTGGATTGTGACGTTCAGTGGATTTGGCAATCCCAGACTAAATTTCCCTGTTTCACTGAAGATTGGAATGGATTGAACGACACAGACAGCTGAAAGCAGAAGGCCACCATCATTATCAAACACAGATAAAATATCTAGTTGCCCAGCCCACACCAACTTTTTCAGGATATTCCCTTCTTATTTGCTAGCTCTGGATTTTAAAGCTGATTTTTTTTAAACATGTGGCATGACAGAAAGTAGCTAGCAGAGGCAGTAGAGCAGGTCAGCTACGCAAGTCTATGAACTTGCCTGGTGAGACACTCTTCTCAGACACAGCTGTAGCCTGCAGGGCCTGTGCCAGCAGTATTTACCATGCAGAAATACCCACGGCAATGCAACAGGCATAGTCTTTCCTGTGCTTGGAGGTGGGCAATGCCCAGGCCTACTCCTGGCTCACAGAAACAGGTTCTGGCAGGTACAATTACAACACATTTCTTACAGCTAGAAGCTAAGTGGGGATAAGCTTCTTAAATAAATAATAAATAATCTAGACACGTTAAGACAGAAGAGTACACCACAAAGCCCCCCACTCTAGAGGGGTACAGCAAGAAGAATAGCTGCCTGCTTCTTCCATAGAGCAATCACTCTCCAAGCAGAAAGGGAGCAGAGTCCTGTCTGTCAAGCGCCATGCCTATCTCAGAACAGGCTATGCTGCTTTCAGAAGAAGAATCAGCCCCTGCCTGTCCTGTGCAGTGATTTACAAGATAACATCAAGATCTGTGAGCTGGTGTGAACCCAGGCTAGGCTGCCCAAGTCGAACCCAGCAGACAAAAGTAAATACTCTGCTTTGGGTCAGCAGAAGGAAGTGAGCGTTACTGTGGGCTGCAGCACACACTTTGTCACTTTGTTTGGGTAACCTTTTGTTGCCTTTACTTTCCTCCCCAGTGCCTAAAAGGAAGACTTCTTTTCACAGCAAATTTTAAAAAAAGATTCAGTAAGAAAGATAAAAATGCTTACATTTAGTTCAGCTCAAAGCAAATGTCCATTTATCTGTTGTTCTATCATTCTTAAGTCCAGCAGCCAAAAAAATTATTTGCCCGGCCTTGAATTCATTATTTATTAAACTGTCTTTTTTGGACATACCTTCTGCCAAGCCTCCTAAGGGATAGAGAGGGATCCAGGTAGTGTATCGGAGCCAGGTTAGTGGTTTCCATTCAATGCCGATGCATGAAAGCATGTAATATGGATACCTAAAGCCAATTCAGTGTGCAAAGAAACAGACACTGTTTAAAATGGCGGCTGCTACTAGAGTTAGTCTTGCATATATATATATATGTTGTATAGTCAACATAATTCCCAAATGACACAAGAATATTCAAAAAATTGTTCCTATGGATCATGATGAATGCACCCTTGTTTGACAGTTTACAGAACTAATGCTATTATTCTGACCATATAGATGAATGTAACTGCCTGGCTTGCCTAATAAACCTTTCAAAATACTTTTTTTGAGAGAAACAGAGCATAGTGTGGCTCACTTAACAAGGGAAATTCAAAGCAACAGAACTCTCCTGGAGAAAAGCAACAGGTTTCCCTAGGTTCAGGGCAGTACTATTTTCAGACTCGCCTTGTCCCAGCTTTTGGCAGATGGAGCCACCTAGGAAGGCTGTGATAGTCCATGTCTAAAGGAGATTTTACCCTCTGGGGCCAATGCACTAGTGCCACTTTTCCGAAAGGTACAAAGATCAAAATCTTCTTTAAAGAGTTATTGGGAACCACCACATTGTTATGTACACAGCTGTAGAAGAAAAATCCCACAAACCTGAACAGCTCAGCAATACTCCAGAAATAAAATACGAAGAACACCACAGGTTTGCTCTGCATTTCCTCTAAGCTTCCGATGACAACAAACAAAATAAAGTTTCTTCCAAATACCTGTTTAAGGAAAAACAAATTAAGGAACAGTCACATGTTACACCAAAAGAAAGAGCAAGTCCTTGCTGCCGAAAACATGCAGGATATCTACTCTTCATGCCTAAAACGCATGCTGAGCACATAACTAACTCAGCAGCTGAGCTGTGACCTGCTGCATATGAGCATGCATTTTGCTCTGTATTTAGGTGCAACCCAAGGGACCTAGTCTTAAATCATCAATCCTCATTTTTATGCATAACCACCACAAGAAGAATAAAAAGGGCACTGGCACCAAATCAAAATCACATACTTTTCATCAGCCACTTCTTGCTTTTGGTGTCCTGAAGTAGCTTACCTAGGTGATGGGCGAAGACAGCCTGCCACAGCTAAGACTGGGAAGCAGAGATTCCTGCCTCTTGCATAACATACCAGTGAGGTTGTACCACTTAGTTTAGGAGAATCTCAATACTTGTGTAAAATAGAGGTTTACTTTAAGCATGGAAGAAGCAAGAAGAATCTTAAAATATTACCTGCACTACAGCAGGTATCAGCGGTGATCTGACTAATCCTATTAGTGAATTCATGATCTCCATTAATGCCAGGGTCTGACAGAAATACATCATGTCAGCAATACTGTGAAATGTATCATAGAAGGAATCTGCAAGACAGGAAACCATTTTAGAGAACAAATGAATTTCCTTGTTCAGGAAGCTGGTGCAGCAGCATAGCTTTTGGTAACAGGATTCCAGTTGTATTTGAAAAAACCATTATGCATAATTATGTAACTTCTTTCTAGGCCTTATCTTGAAGTCACAGCAGTTAGGCCAGAAACACTGCTCAAGTGCTCTTTTCATAAACAGAAGGATCAAGAGCTATTTCAGTAATTACTTTACAAAAAAAAGCAATAGCGCTGTACCTCAGTAGAATGAATTGTTCTTGCTTCAAAAACAAAATATTCTGCCCGGCTCATTTTCAAAAATACTAACATTACAGTGAGTGAGACATTTTGCTCCAACTGACTGCGTTAGAAGTGATCTTGGCAGAATACAAGTATCATTCAATCAGAATATGCAGTTGTGATTTACAAGAGGACAGTGTTTTCCTATCCTTGACACCGTGATGGCTTTTGACAGGCTTTTGTTGTGCGCTTCAGTAATGCGTTTACGGTTTTGTTTCCTAAATAGGTCTTTCTTTAGATTTCACTATTTAGAAAGTACTAAAAACAACACTAAAAAAGCAAACCCAAACCCCCAGTGTAAATAAAATAGTGCTTGTTACTTGCCTTTTCCCAGGATGAACAGTCGTACTGTCATGTTCACAAAAATCCAAGAGAATCCCAAAAACTGTACAAGATTATACATGATTAAGTATCCCTTCTTCAGGTGTTTGAAAGCTAAAAATCAATAATAAACACATCAGGTGAGCAGAGTACAATGGTAACACCTCTGCAAAGAGTACAGCTGCAAATCAGGCTTTCTATGAGAATAAAGCTTACAAGGGAAGCTATTGATTGTGATAAAAGGGTTGCTGCATGCACTGTGGGTTCTGTCTGCTTTTACCATCATCTGCTAGAACTCAATTCTCCCTAGTCAGATTTTTAAAATTCCTTGGAAACTGCAGTCCATTTTTAGTATAAAGTCTGAATGGCTCACGATACAAAGATCCCCTCCAAGATGCACCAAGCCAGTCAAAATCGGTCCGTAAGAGTTGAGGTTTTGCATACAGGAGTGACAGAAGCTTTCTAAACCCCATCTTACACACTAAAAAGGTAAGGTTACTTACGGTCTTTTGGGACTCTGGATTCTATTTTCACTTTGTTAATCTTTTCTTCTTCCTTAGGATGAAGGATAAGGTTTTAAAGACTTTTACTGTAATTAGCAAGTGACTTGTTAACTATACTACTGCAAAGCTAGCGGGTTTAACTCAGCTGAGCAGGCAGCTGCTAGAGGGTTTAAATTTTCACCTGCATAAACCACCACATTCATCATCCAGAAATTATGGTGCAGTAAAAGCCAGAGGGTGTTAACTGGTTATCCTGCCTTCACTATGTATTTCTAGTAATTAGATGCTCTTGACAAAAAAGCCTGCTGTTTTCTGTGTTAATTCTCAGTTATTACTGTTTCTTAGAGCTGTTCCTTAAAACATTTCATGACCCACCAGTGACATGAAGGGAGCTGAGAACATCCAGCCCAGGCTCTCTGCCTGTCCTTCACCATTGCTTTCTGGCTCCTGGCATTGCAGTGGCCCTTTCTCCTCTGCACTAAGCTCAGTGGCTGTGGAGGGGAACAGGGCAGCATTTGTTGTAAAACAGATTTGCAGAAATGTGGTCTGTTCAAGTCTTTTCCAAGACAGCCTTGTGCTTCCCTGCTGCAGAAAGCTGCTTGAGCTTAGCAGATGGTGGGAACATGCCATCAGGGCCAGCCCAGTGGCTCAGGAAAGCCTCAGAAATCCCCGCTTTCCAGAGAAGTAATGTCTGGGACTGGTGTCTCTGGACTCCATATGGCACATCAACATGATCTTCACATGAATTGGGACACAGGGCTGTGGAGGCACAGGGCAGAGGGTGCAGGCCTTTGGCTGCAGACCCTGGCCAGGGCTGAGCTAACTGCTGCTCTTTCAAGCCATAAATGTGCCTGTTTCTGTTTACAATTTGAACGGTTTAACCAATTCTGCGTGGGATCTGCGTGAAACAGCAGTAACAATCAGCATGCCAAACAACTCCAGGTAAATGAAGAACACAAGTTCACGTGCAAGGAAACAGCCACCCTTGCTGTAGAGCTGGCAGCACAAGCCACAGGACTGACCTTCTCCTTCATTTCCATTTCAGCATCTGATTCATCTAACCAGCGGTCGAAGTCAGGAGCTAGGAAGAGCGGGCGCTTCTCTTGCTTGGTGAGTCTCTCCCACCAGTTACTCTCTTTTTTCTGCACAGTGATGTTCAGCTGCCTTTGAGTCACCCTGCATATAGGCTGAGGGCAGGCAAAGGAGCATACATCAGCAAAAGTCCTAAGAAACAAGCTATAAGCCTAAGTTGAGACCCAGGCTCTCACTGTCAAGGAGGCAGAGATGACATGGACTGCTGCCGTACAACCATCCCTCTGCCACCCAAGTCATGGAAGCTAAGGGCAGCCCAGTTGAAGATGGCAACTGTGGTAACTGTAGGACTTGACAAGCAGCTTGAAAGCCTGCCCGTACCGCACAGGAACACTGCATCCCACCACAAAGAGCCAGCAGAGACTCTGGTACCAGCCCTCCTAGGCAGAACCCATGATCCTGGCTTGCATTTAGTACTGTGAGGCACCCACTTCCTCTAGCCAGTGGTAAAAATAACACTGCCATCAGGTCCCTGTCCAAAACAGGGGACTTCTGCTACAGTGAGGAAGAGCTAAAAGCCTTAGGAAACATCTGGAGACAACGGTGAGCTAATGGACCTGGTCATTGCAACCCCATGAGGCCTCTCCACCACAGGCACCCTCTGCATAACGGCAGCCCACAACCCCTCCATCCTTACAGCCCAAAGCACTGTCACCTTGGGGGCTCACCCTTACTGCCACCATCACGACCATGCCAGGGTGCTCTGTGTGCGACTGCCTCTCAAACCAGCCGAAACCAATGCAGAAGAGCCATGAGCTGCATTCTTAACTGAGCACGTCACAGCAGCACTGCTCCGTCACGGCTGCCTGGATGCTAGTAGGACATCTGAAGACTGCAGCTGTAAGTTACAGCTACTCACGCCTGGTTCTTGACTGTCAGAGGCTCCATCTCCCGCCGGTGGCCAACCTGGCACCAGCAAGAGGTACTCATGGTGCACATCAAAGCTAAAGGAGAAATCCCTGGACTGCAACACTTCTTGGTCCAGACCATCTGTGGTTACACACATTTCAGAGTTCAGTCTCCTCCAGAGTGACTCAGAGTGACTAGACTTTTGGAAGGAGGCTGCTCTGCAGAGGCAAGGGCTTGCCTTCCAGGCCTGGCACCCAGCACAGCCCATGTCTGCCAGCACAGAGGACAAGCACGGTTGGTGGTGGGCACCTCTCCCTACACTGTGGACCAGGCAGCTGCTGCTCTACAAGCTGGACGACAAACTGGTGACCAGATCCTGGAACCAAGAGATACTCATTGTCTGCCATGCAATTCCTGCCACACAAGAAACTTGCCTGCTGACAGACCCAAGAAATTCACCCTCTGGCAGTCTCCTCCCTGTGGAAGCAGCAGAGGTGAATGGGGGCTCCCAGTCTGACTGCAGCTATCCCAGCAGGCAATCAGGAATAAGCAGCACAAATCCTGCCCTGGGAGCAGAACCCAGGGTTTTCCTGTGCCTCTAACAGCTTTAAGAGGTAAGACAGACTTTACGGCCACTGGTGAGTAACACAGAGGGGCTGCTCTTCCAGAGGAGCTCTCTCCTATCAGACTACAACAGGAACTAAGAAAAGCTTTTTGCAACAGGAGCCACAACATATCTATACTGGAAACCTAAGAAATCTGTACAAACCAGAAGCTGGAATTCTCATGACGCTTTTGTCGGGCTGCAAAAGAAGCCATGAAACATCACGCTGACATTTTGCAGCACAGTGTCGCCTTGCGCCGCTTTAAATCCTTAAAAAAATTTACAGCTACTGTTTATCAACAGATACATGTAAGGTATCAAGCTGACCCATGCAATGAGGTGATTTGCATTAAGGCAGGATGAGGGCTGAGCATCAGGACAGAAGACTGCCACAGATGGCTTTTGGTTTGTAGCAGTTGCAAAGTCATCAGGAAAATCTAAACAGCATATTATGGACTTTAGATGCAGCCATTTTCCCTTCAAGTTTTAAAAAAATTACTTTTTTTTTTTTTGCAAGAGTTAGAAAAGTAAAAATACCTACTTTAGGCTCAACCGGTTCTAGGAACTCAATCTGAAATTCGTAGATGTTGTCTCCTTTGGCACCATGACCCTGAGCTAAAAGACAAGAGTTAATAGTCAGTGTGAATGTCCTAGCCAGTTTCGCACACCCCACTTGCAAAAGACGATTTATACATAGAACTCTTCAGGGGTTATTTACAGTGCTTCCCCCTGCCTTGCTGGGAAGCAAGAGGAAACCACACAGTAACAGGGAAGAACCCAAACGTTGCTCAGAGGTGCAGCTGCTGGAGTCAGCAGCTAAAGCTGCTGCAACTCTGTACAGGGCTGGAAAAGGGTCCTCGCTCACAGCAAGGCAGCGTGTGAGATTCCCAAAAGGAGGGCTCAAAAGGCTGCTCGTGCCTAACTGGAATCCAACTGAAAATCCCCTTTGGGGAATCCAGGCTCTGCACCAACAAGCAAGTGCCCAGGGAGACCCGTCTCTGGTGGGTCCGCAGGAGTGTGATGTGGGGAGTCTCCTTCCAGCGGCAGGAGGGTGCGTTGGTCTCTCAGATCCTGCATACGCGGGTCTTGTCTCCGGAAGGGCTCCAAAAACCTGCACGCCAAGTTTCATTTCCACCCTTCCACGCCGTAAACTGATCCTGAAGTGAACACGATGTGCGACAACACCCTATCAAATGGCCCTGGCTGTGGCTCACCGGGGAGGCGGCATTTCCTAGACAACGCGTCTTAAAGAAAACCACCAAATAAATGAGAAAACCCAAATAAAACCAGCTACAGCATATCCTGAGCACTACCTGAAGAAGCCAACCAGCATAAGCTCCACGGTGTTGCCAACGTGCAGCTGTCCAGCTGAAACAAAACCATCTTTTAGGAAGAGATCTGCTTTACCTTTCAAATCGAGCGCTAGTTCCCGATGCAGAGGTTTGATAACAGTTGCAAACAAGGTCTTTGTGAAAGGAAAAATTGCCGTGAGTTATCTCGGGGGTTCAATTGAGACAGGGCAGCAGAGAGATATGGAAATGTCACTGATATTTAAATATGGGCAAAGGGTTGGGGTTTTTTATTATTATTATTATTATTATTAGATAAGATACAACCTGCTATCGTTACTAGGGCTGAAATACAAGGGTTTGTAGGTGGGTGCGTGTCATGGCGTACCCAGACATGCCCGGCGCCCAGCACGGAGCTCGGCCGCTTCCACCAAGGGCAGCGACGGGGACCTGGCACCCCGCGGCGGGGGACACCCCGGTCTCGGCCCCTCCCGGCACCCCATGGCTGGGGGACACCCCTGCCTCTCCCGCCAGGCTCAGCGAGCAGCCGCGGCCTTGGAGGAGCCCCCCCGCGAAGGCCGGAGCCCCCACCTTTGAAGTGCAGCACGTTGTCGGTGATG